TAGTTAATAAGGGCACCTTTAGGAAAAGGTACCTTTCTTAGAAGGTACCTAGTAAAAGAGAGGTGCCTATTAAGAAAGGCACTTATATAGAGTAAGGTGCCTCCTTAGAAGGGCACCTATAGGAATTAGTACCTATAATAAGTGTAGTACCTTTTATAGGACACATACGTAATTAGATTAGTAGGAATAGTAAGAATAGTTAGAGAGTCTACTATTCTAACTATTCCCTTTAGTATAACGCTACTATATAAGTAGATAGTTATTCCTTAGATAGGAGCTTTGTGCTTAACTTAATATAGTATTTTATTATATACTATAATGTGTTTTATAGAAGCCTTTATGTCTAATCCCCTACCTCCTCTATTAAGTAAACTAACGTAACGAAACCTCTATAAGTCTTATAGTCTAAGGCCTAGCATTACACTATAGTCTTAGGCTATATAGCCTAGCTTATTATAGTTAAAATAAAGCTGTTCTTTAAATTACTTATCCCTTTTTAGGTTATAGGGCTGTCTAGGTTTAATTATAGCATTAAGTTCTATTAGATCTAACTAACAGTTATCTTATAGGTGTTGTTCCTATTATCTACCTTCGTTCCCTTAATAGGGATAACTTTTCTTAGGTTTATTATAGGTCCGTTGTTCCTTCTAGAATTTGTATAGCTAATTGTTAATTTAGACTATATACTTAATTAGCGTTACTATGTCCGTTAGTTGTTACTCTAAATAGGTAAGTTCTATATATACATAGCTCTTTAGCCTATGTTAGTAGTAGCTAATAAGCGCGCTAGTGTCCTATCCTATCTAATTGCTATATCTCTAGAATTCTATAGAGTACATAAGGGCGCTACCTATCTGTTTAAGCGTAAATAGGTACTCTACTATAGTCTTAATCTTATTAATATCTCTAAACATACGTTAGATCTCCTTATAGAATCCTTTCTAGCTACTAAACATAGTTTAGGTAGCTACTATGCTCCTGTTAGTACTTTTATGTTAGAAGTAGTCCTTAAGGAAGGGTTTAATCTATTAAAGGGCCTCTCCTTAAAGGTAGGATAAAGTCTATAGAGTATAGCTTTCCCTTATAGGAAACTTATTGTTATTAAAGTGCTAGTATAGTTTAACCTATAGTAGGAACACTTTAAGTTCCTTTTAATTACTAGAATAGGTGTTAAGGAGCTTAATATGTAAGGCCTCCCTAAGTTCTAATGTTATAGGCATGTTAAGCATCTCTTTGTTCTTAGTTATAGGTCTTTAAGATAAAGTTAGCGTAGTAGGAGTCTTCCCCTTTAAACTAACAACAGACATGTTACTTTATATATAAGCTAGTACCTTATAGAAGTAGTGCTTAAAGTGTAACGCTAGGTCTTAAACTATAAGACTTATAAAGGTTTTATTATATAGGTTTACTTAATAGAGGAGGTAGGGGATTAGACACTAAAGGCTTTTATAAAACACGTTATAGTATATAACAAAATACTATATTAAGTTAAGTACGAAGCTCCTATCTAAGGAATAACTATCTACTTATATAGTAGCGTTATGCTAAAGGGAATAGTTAGAATAGTAGACTCTCTAACTATTCTTACTATTCCTACTAATCTAATTACGTGTGTGTCCTATAAGAGGTGCTATACTTATTATAGGTACTAATTCCTATAGGTGCCTTTCTAAGGAGGTACCTTATGTAACACTAGGTCTTAAACTATAAGACTTATAAAGGTTTTATTATGTTAGTTTACTTAATAGAGGAGGTAGGGGATTAGATACAAAGGCTTTTATAAAACACGTTATAGTATATAACAAAATACTATATTAAGTTGAGCACGAAGCTCCTATCTAAGAAATAACTATCTACTTATATAGTAGCGTTGTGCTAAAGGGAATAGTTAGAATAGCAGACTCTTTAACTATTCTTACTATTCCTACTAATCTAATTACATATATGTTCTATAAGAGGTGCTATACTTATTATAAGTACTGATTCCCTTAGGTGCCCTTCTAAGGAGGCACCTTGCTCTATATAGGTGCCTTTCCTTATAGGCACCTCTCCTTTGCTAGGTACCTTCTAAGAAAGGTACCTTTTCCTAAAGGTGCCCTCATTAACTAAGCTACCTATAATCTCTACGTCCATTTTCTGCTGCTAATTAGCTACAAGCTATTTTACCTTATTATTCTATCTTGTGGCATATAAGTTGTATGTTTTAGCTGTAACACCTTACTCTATATAGGTACCTTTCCTAATAGGCACCTCTCTTTCGCTAGGTACCTTCTAAGAAAGGTACCTTTTCCTAAAGGTGCCCTTATTAACTAAGCTACCTACAATCTCTACATCCATTTCCTGCTACTAATTAGCTGCAAGCTATTTTACCTTATTACCCTATCCTATAGCATATAGGTTGTATGTTTTAGCTGTAACAGTTAGCTATTTCTTATATAGCTTATAGCTAGGGTAGAAATCTACATAAATCTAGGTTAAGAATGTACTAAACAAGAGCTGACTCTTTGTATAAAGTCAGATTCTATAATTTAGGAATAGAATTGCATTAAGAAGCCATTCTATAAATCTAATTGCATAAGGTCGTTTAGGGGATATTATACAAAGCTACAGCTACTTAAACACTTCGAAATTAGCCTTTTTAAATTGCATTAATAGCTAATAGTATTTGATCCTCTTAATTAGAGGATTAGGCTTATGTTGGTTGTGGCATGTTTACATTTGTTAAGTTGACGCGTTTTAGTGTTTTAGTGGGCAAGTCGCTTGTGTGGGCGAGTCGCTTGTGAAATACGTTACTGTTTTAGCTACAAAGCAGAACGGCGACTCCGAGACTAAGCCTGTACCAGAGCGTTCCGCTATGTCCCTTTGCCTGTGCGCAGGCAGGCGAAGGAGTGATTGACGGAAATAGACTGTTCCTTGCATTCTGAGCCTTCATCGACAAGCATGCTGAAGCCTCGAGTGGCTTAAAGGTGGAAACACGAATTCGACAGCGACGTTTTTCGACCTTAGCGCGTAACATGCCTCAGCTCCTTCTCCCGATTCCTTCATCCAACCCTAATCAGCCCATATTAACCCCCCGCTTCATAGATGCAACGCAATTACAGCAATCTTACCTAACCCGTCATCATTGTTGCTGCCGTCGTGAAGTGTTTTTGACATTAGCTAAGCCACATTCCCACATGCATGGGCAAGAATCATGGCTTGTCATGTGTGTTCCATCCGCCCTAATCTAAACGCGATGATGCCGACACTTTAGTAAGGTCTACTAGAATCCATAATGTTGCAACCTGATATTAGTTACTAGAGACGAGACAGGACGCTGGAAACCGCGCCCTGCTTGCCGTCGCATAGTATACTGGAATTAACTATATATGATATTTATTTAGTTATAGTGTTAACACATAGAGCTGTATATATATACTAAGTTTACTCCACCCTATTAGAACTATCCTTAAAGACAGCTATTTAATACTCGATCCTTACTATTCCTTACATATCACCATCTATCCCCTACCCCCTATTCCACACCTTCAACAATACGAGTCAAACCCTCCCCCAAAATCCACGACACTCTTCAAACCAGTGCACAAGCCAACTAACCGCAGGAATCTTAGCTAAAACAGCCCGGTATTCCCCAGACCGGCCTCGTCACCCCTCGCCGAATACGTTGCCCCCCCGGTAGGGTAGTCACGAACAGTGACAGCCCCCCCTTTTCAGCCCTCGTTTGCAAAACACCATACCGCTAAGCACCTACCTCATCACCACCACCACCACCCAGTAACGACCACCCACCAACCCTTCAAACCACTTATTCAGCGCCCTTCAAGACACAGTACTCTCACACCACCCACACTCTGAATTTCCAATCCAAAGCGAACCGCCCGCCCAGACCCGCGTGCTCCAGTCCCCCAATGTGTTCTATTGCGCTGAATGGGGTGGTTTAGCTGCGCGGGGAAGTGATCTTTATTTTTACACCCCCCTTTTCATCCCCAGCTTGGTCAGGTATGGTGGTCATCTAATGTCGCGGACATTAGTGCACCGCAAAAACAGAAAGAAGGGAACGGAACTGCACTGCAATGAATTAATTGGCCTCATCATCGTTATCATATTACCACTTCCCCCTCATCATTATGTAAAAGCAACCCCACCATGCCAAATGCAACCTCCCCCCCCGTTTTAGTCCCTAGGATATCTAATGTACACGAAGCGAAAAACGCAAAAGCAGAAACAAAAAAAAAGAACCAAGCACCGCTCCGCTGGCTTAAAAGTGTGATGAAAAAAAAAAGCAAGAAGCTAAAACAAACAAAAATGGCAACGCCGACGCTATAGATGGTATGCTAAGAAGCAGAAAAGGTGGTGTGATGACAAAAAAAAAACAGGTTTGGGTTGGGGGGAAAAAGGGGTAAATGTGTGTGTGTGGTGTGATGGTTCGTCAATCTCCTCAGCCCCCTAGATGAGCGCGCAGAAGCAGACAATCAACGATTAACTCTCCTCCCATCCAAAAAGATCCTCTCCCTCGGCCCCCCACCATCCACAACATCCCTCCTCCTCCTCGCCTCCTCAAACTCCCTCTTCTCCTCCTCACTTAAACTAAACGCCTTCTTCAACCACCCGAACCCGCTCCGCTTCTTCTTCACCTTCTTCCCCTGCTCATCCACCCCCACTGTCACCTGGCTGGCAAGCGTCATCTGTGACATGTTGCTGGGGTACACGCTACCGCTGCCGTTCATCCTGCTCTCCCTCCCACCGTTGTAACTATTAGTCGTATTCCCGTAACTGCTGCCGTAGCTATTATACTGCGCCGACGCCACCCCACCACTCCTCCCCGGCGGCAACCTCTGCGTCGGCGCCGCAGTCCACGGCCGTTGAAGCGGGGAATGCGGCGACGCCTGCACGGGGTGAAAATGCTGCTGTTCCGACCTCGGCGTCATGACATACGTAGACCCGTAATCATGACGCGTCTGCGCAGAGGCGATGAATTGGTGATACTCCTGGCTCGGTGTCCCGACGACCGAAACGCGATTCGGGTCCGAGTAGTACGCTGAGTCGAGACCCAGACCGGTGGTGGTGGGGTTGGAGAGGGAGCGGGGGGAGTTGGGGGTAGCGCCAGAATGGAGAGGTGGAGGGCGGCGGAGCTCCATGTTGGAAGGGGGACGCCGGATTTGGAGAATGGCGGGAGTGTGTGCTGGGCTGGGGTTGGCGTTGTGGTGGGATGGGATGTTGAGAAGCGGTGCTGGGGCTGCTTTGCGCGTTAGGGAGAGGCGCTCGCGGAGGGAGGATTTGCGCGCGATAGGTGGGGCGGATTCGACGCGCTCTTGGACGTCGGGGGGTGTAGGGAGGCGTGAACTAGGTGGTGGACCCGCGGAATAGGCGCGTGGTGTCAGCGGGGGTGGGGTGTAAGTTCTCGGTTCCAGGGTGAGGAATTGGGGCTCCTGCAGCTCGGGGTCGGAGATGGAGCTGGAGTCGCGGTCGGGAGATTCTTCGCGCTCTTGGACGAGTTGGAAGGCCGGGAGGGTGGCGCGGATGGCGGGCGTGATCATGCTGGGGTTTGAGGGAAGTTCTTTGGCCATTGAGGCGCGCGAGCGGGTTGAGGGGCCCGAGCGGAGGGAGGCGCGGGAGGGGCGGGAGGAGTGGCGCGGGGAGGAGGGGGGGGAGGTGATGGATGTTTGCTTGATGGATTGGCGGGGGGACATAGCGATGCTGAACTGTGGGATTGTTAGCAGGTGGATTCAGGGGAGAGGGGGAGAGGGGATGGGAAGATTGATTACGCACTCTTGCATTTCGACTAATCTCGCCAGCGCGCTTGTCGATTTCTGCAACGATGGATCCGAGTTGCACCAGTGCTACGCCAAGTTTGTTGCCCTTCGTCTGCAAGGACACATATGCTTTGTACCACCCATCGGCATTTCCCTTCATGGCATCAAACACCTCTTTCATTTCGGGGCGTTCTGCCTGCCATCGATGGCGGGCCTTTTCTTCAGCCATATACCCAGCAACTTCTCTTGTTGCTTCCATGCCTTGCTGCACGTTTCGGAGCGAATCTTTCATTGCTGCCGCTGTCCGCGTGATGATGTGCTCAATGGTCTCGTTTCCGGATACGATCTGGTTCCTGAAGTCCCTGTCCTCCATCATATCTTCAAAGACGCTAATGTTCTCCAGAGGCATCCTAAGGTTCTTCAGCCTCTCATCAATATCCTCCTGGGCAAGATCGAAATCCTCCAGAGTCGTCTCTAAAAACCCATCAACCTCATCCACGTGCCCTTGCAGGATAGTAAGGGCTTGCTCGTCGTCTCTTGCCAGGCCGTTTAGTAAGAGGTAAATGCCGAATGATATCTGAGACATGATCTTCCATAGCTCGTGATATCTCTGGCCCGGCTTCTGCTTCCACTTCCCCGCGTGGGTCTCCGCAGAGATGTCCTGATCAAGCAATGCCTTCCGTCTCTCGGCTGCGTTGCCGAGGATAGGCTTCAAAGGAGGATCGTCATTGTCAAAGGCATCGAGCATAGATTCCTCGAATGCCGCCTGCATTGACTCAATTGGATGTATTGGGACCTGAGTTTCACGGGGTTGGGTGACCGGGCGCTCGCCGTCATCATCATCATGAATTGAAATGACGCTCAAACGAATCTCGTCGTTTGGGACATAATCTTTATGGAGCGAGACAATGCTACGGCGCCTGCCATTAGCTTCAGTTAGACTCTCATTCGTAGAGGTAGTACTTTGGCGCCTATCATCCGGGACTGCATCGTCATATACAGACATAAGGTTCCTTGACGGCTCGTTGGTCTGTGCTGGAAGTTCCTGCGGAGGGGTAGGAATAGGTGTTGGATCCAGATCGTAGTTCTCCGCGGGAAGCTCATGGATGAACATAACACTGGGGTGTTCGTATTCCTTCTGTGGTTGTTGGTAGCTGGCGCTAGGCGCAATATCTGTTTGGTTGTCTCTCTTGGGCGCTGAATCCTCACGAATAGGCGTAAGGTTGCGGCCATTCCCGTCGACTTGTGTAGGTTCCTCCTGTATAGACGCCAAACTCTGACGCCTCCCATCATTCTGCAAACCATCCCCCTCAACCGCCAGCAGACCTGGGCGCACATCGCCATCGTGCCCCTGCGGCTCGTCGCGCGCCGACCCAACACTACTGCGTCTATCATCCCCCGACGTGCTCCCACCAAACGACATCATGCTGAATCGCGGATCGAGTCTGTTGATGGCGAAATCCCCGAATGAGAGGTCGAGCGAGGCTCTCGAATCGAACATGCTGAAGGATGTCTCTAGCGGGTGGATGTCGATCGCCGCCGCGTCGTGCGACGTGACTGCGGGCGTGGCCATGGTTGGCAGCGTGGGGCGGTACTACATGGAAGACCTTGGTGCGCCACGGGGAGCTGCAGTTGGGTGTTTGTGGGTGTGGGTTTGTCGCGTGGAGGGTTTATCGGCTTGAATTCGTTCCTGGGGGTGAGGTGAGGTTTGGCGGGAGAGGGAGGGAGGGAGGGAGGGAGGGAGGGAGGTGGTGTAGCTCCAGGTGTGCGCGCGGTGGTATCGGGTAACCTTTGTATCCCTTATAACACAGGTCAATCGAGACGAATGTAACTGTGCTGTAATCCTGTATTCGTTCTTCGCGCCCCGATCTCTGCTCTGCCGCCGTCGTTGTCGTCGTTCCTTCTGACCTGACCGTTGCAGATTTCCAGGGTTTGGAGCTTGGGTCGTTTCGTTTGGACGTTCGGACGTTTCGACGCGTAGATTTGGAGCTCGAGGCTGAGAATGTGGTCGGCTAATAATAGTAAGGAAGTGTAAGTAGTAGTTGATCGGCGAAATTCCGAGCGCACTACTACTTTCGTATTGGTAAGTTCCTGGATTGACCAGTTTTGTATTTTCCCCTGAATCCGACCAAAGAGAGACAGACAGACGATGGATGGTAACGGGATAAACTTGGCGGGTGTTTAATAACGACTACGACGTCGTAATTATTTTAGAGGGGGTTAGAGTGCGCAAGGTTCACATGGAAGGACGACGACGACGATAAGGTAGGGGAGGGAGTAATAAGAGTTACTCCAGATGGGGTAGATGGGGGGGGGATTAGAGAGAGGGGGGAAGGGGGGGGGAAGGGCCAATTGGGAAGGGGATCGTGGGCATTCGTGGGCATTCGCGGACATTTTCTTTTGATCGAAGCCCAATGTAGATCAATATAGAATCGTTTTGGGTCTTACTTGTGATTCTACTATAGAGTCCCCTGTAGAAGGACGGATGTTGCCATATTTACTATATTACCAATTACCATATTACGCATAGTACCACGTATATTACCATCTGTTAATACATTTCCTTTCGTATAAATTAGAAATTAAATCCATTGAATATTGAATACTTGGTAGCTAGCTACATGTAAACAGTAAACAATAACGGTAATGACAGGTCCACAGTACCCGTCTCCACCACCAACGACCATACTTTCCGTACCGTCTTCTACCAAATAAGTTGCATTATAGCTGCATTTTAAGTTGCTATAAGTGCATATAAGTGGCTGATTTGGAAGTAAATAAAAGGGTTCAACGCCAACAAACAAATCCAGGGTCCAACGATCCAACGGATCCAACTATCGACAAATAACGGAAACACTAAAATACTTCCTACCCGTTGCCTGATCTGGACCGACTATAGACTGGGGATGAAATGTACCTGACCAGCTCTATTTCAGTGGTACGAGACATGGTATCCCCAACCCAGACTCCAACCCAATGATCGTACTGCGAACTGAGACAACGAACCACAACACACCACAACACTGAGATCATCACCAACACATCATTCCTAAAAAGTGTATAATAGACCAGACTACTATCACTACTATCACTAACTATTCAATAATTTTCATCCTTACTGTCTCACTACTATCCAGTACTCTAAGACTTACATATAAGACCGAGCATGTCTCTTGTCGCGCTCTCCTGACACCACACCACCACCACACCCCACTGGCGCACTCCGCCAGCAACGCCAGCAGCACACGACAGCCACTGTCCTGTGAAGAGCACGCGCGCGCGTCGACACTAGAAGTTCTGGTTCAGAACAACAGAAGATACGAGATCTTGATACACTTCCGTCCGAGCGAACACCTATAACCCTCCTCCGCACGATCGTGCGCGGCGCATTGTCCCCCCCCTGCCTCGACAGCCAGCCATCCCCCGTTGGGCGATCGACCAAATCCTCAAAACGCACACACGACCACCCTCAAGACAACACACAGAGGCGCACGAAACACAACCACATAACCACCCACCATGTCCGCCCTCCGGCGCATCTTCTCCCTCAGCCCCGACCTCTTCGACTCCTCCCACCGCTTCGAGACATCCTGGCTCATCACGCCGTGGGCGCTCTTCTTCTTCCGCGCATTCTTCGTTCGTCCCCCCCTTTCCTGGCCCTCCCCATTCCCCCCCTTCCCTCTCTCCCCACCGTCACAAACTCCAGCTAACCCCCTCTCCCCCCACAGAGTTTCTACGCCTTCTTCGTCCTAATCTTCAACCTCATCTTCACCGGCGTGCAACCCTCCTACGGCGGCAGCGAAGCAGCCTCATTATCCTTCTCCTACTTCACAATCCTCACCTACTGGGGTCTAGCATTCTACTTCCTCTTCGCCTCCCTCCACACCCTCAGCTACGCGCGCCACGGCACCCCTCTCCTAGCGCACTTCCCCCGTCCCCTCCAGGCGCTACACTCCCTCCTCTACACGACGATTATCTGCTACCCCTTCTTGGTGACGATCGTGTACTGGGCGGTTCTATACTCATCTTGGTTCCCCACCCCCTACCCGCGCTGGACCAACATCTCCCAACACGCGCTCAACTCCCTCTTCGCCCTCTTCGAGCTCATCATCCCGCGCACCTCTCGCCCCCCCTGGATTCACCTCCCCTTCCTAATCCTGATCCTCGCGCTCTACCTAGCATTAGCGTATCTAACGCACTACACCCGCGGGATCTACGTGTACTCCTTCCTCGACCCGGGAAATGGGAGGGGGATGCTAGCAGGGTACGTCCTGGGGATCGCGGCGGGGATAGTGGTTATCTTCCTACTTGTGCAGGGGGCGGTGTGGGTGAGGAAGTGGGGGACGGAGAGGAAGATGGGGAGGGAGGGGAGGTTTCATGGCGGGAGGAGCAAGGGGCAGGGGGATGCGGAGTTGGAGGCTACGAGGCAGTGGGAGGATAAGGCGTGAGCGTTTCGTTTGAATTTGGCGAGATCTGGTTTGGCGATGTTATATTTGGGCGATGTGTATGTCGGGATATGTTTTGATAGTTGTGGGCGCTGGTGGAATTTGTTTGTGTAGATATACCCACCATACTAACAACACCTGTCTATATATAAATAATAATACCCCTAATTTTACCGCACCCACCACAATCACCACACACACCACCTCCCACCTCCCATTTCCCCTCCCCTCCCCCCTCACTTCCCCTCCCCCTCCCCACCCCCCCTCCCAAACCGTCCCCCAAACGCACTAATATCCCTCCTAAAAAACTTCCCAATCCCCCTCAAATTCCCCTCCCCCTCCTCCCCAATCCCCACCCCCTCCCTCGCCACCCCCAGTATCTTCTCCCCAAACGCCGCCGCCGCCGCCGCCTGCGCATTCGGCGGCGTTTGGACAGCCACCAGACTCAGTCCCCCCAGGAAGGGGTCAACATCCACCAATCCCCCTCCCCCATCATCGTCCTTCGCACTCGCTCTATGGACGCCGAATAACTCGATCAACGACCCGATTTCGGAACGCCGGACGCCCTTCAGATCTAGGACTTTGCGGAAATTGGAGTCGGAACGGTCGTGGATGTGGATTAGGTATGCTTGCACGAGGGCTTCGGGGGGGGAGGGGCGCACTTGGAGGGTTTTGAGGAGGGGGTCGAGGCGGGCGAGGGAGAGGGCGACGCGTTTTTGGAAGGAGGGGTTGGGGGGGAGGAGGGAGGTGAGGGAGGATGTTAGGACGTATTTGTCGAGGAGTAGCTGGGGAGTGTTAGTCTCGACTTTGCTGAATCAGGGAGAGGGAGGGTGGCAGGGTCAGAAAGAAAAAAAAAGGAACACATACCTGCTCAGCTCCCACCTCAGAAATCGGCCGACAAGCAACAATAGTCCCCACATAAGCCTGCACCACCCCCTCAACAACCTTATCCGCAAACGCCCTCGCATACCCCGGTTTCTGCAACAGCGCCAACGTCTCCCCCGCACTCGCCTCCACCCTCCTCACAAGCTCACCCACATAACTCGATTGATCCCCCACGCTCTCCATACGGCTCCAATTCGTATTCCGCATCTCCCTCCACGCCGGCTCCGCGGCAGCATCCACACGTCTAGCTAGCGCAACTAGTGCCGCTGAGGCGACGCCCATGAATGTGTCTGCCTGCGGCGCGAAGTCGACTTTAGGGGCGAGATCGGCGTCGATGCGACGGCGCAGGGTGTCGGCTAGTTGCGTGCTGTTGGTGTGCCAGTAGTCTGCTGTGTTGAGGACGAGGATCGCGTCGTTGAGGTTGGGGGGGGCGGGCGAGGAGCGGGAGAGCATGGGGAGGAGGACGGCGTGGGCGTATTCGTCGAGGTACTTTGCGAATGTGCGAGAGAGGTCGAGGAGGCGGTCGCTGGTGGATAGCTTGGCGCACTGCGCGAGGGTGACTTTGTAGAAGTGGAACAGCTCAATGGATGACGCGAGGACGGAGTGGGCGTGGAACTCCTCGTCCTCGGCTAAGGGGGGCTGATTGCGGTATGTAGGGATCATGGAAGCGAGTTGCTTGTCGCGCGACTCGACCCACAGGCTGAGATAGGGCTCAAAGGCCTGGGAGATGGAGCCGTCGAAGGTGTGTGCGCGCTCTTCGGAGTTGAGGGTGTCGAGGGAGGCGCGGGGGTCGCTGGCGAACTTGGCTTCGAGGCTGTGCTCGAAGTCGAGGGTTTCCTGGAGGCAGCGGAGGAGGAGGCTGACGTCGAGGGTGTTGCCGTCTGTGCGCCTTGTGCTTTTCTCGAGGATCGCTTTGTAGTCTTCTCTGGTCCCTTCGCAGAAGGCGTTCGCGAGCATCTCGTTGACTCTCCAGCTGAGGGGGAAGATAGCCGCATGCTCGTCATCGTAGGTCTTCCACATCCTCTTGAACCAACTATATCGCCTCCCAATATTATCCAGACTTCCCGCCTCATCATTCCCCCTAAAGACCTGCCTATACTCTCTCAGCATCGTATTGCAATACCACGTAATCAACCTCGCCCTCGCCGTATCCCCAAGCGCATCCATAACCAAACACGCCTCCTTCAACATCCCCCTCTTCCCACCCACCTCCCCCTTCGCAAACGCCATCTCAAAGTCCTCACACACCTGCTCCCCCAACTCCCGCTGCAGATCCGCCACATTCCGACTCAGCGTCGCGATCTGGTCGATACTGCGATAGCTCCGGAAGTGCGCCATGAGCTGCAGCACCGCCTGCAGCAGGCCCGCACACTCGCGGTACTGCCTGCTCTTCGCCAGGCCGCGCAGCTGCTCGTATGCTGTGGTCAGCATCTGTAGCCGCTTCAGCGCTGTCATGGAGAGCGTCAGGTTCCGCTTGGTGTGGTCGAGTCGCTTGATGTCGGCTGTCATGCTGGTGATTGTATGCTCGGTCTCGAGGGCGCGGCTGCGGACTGACTCGATCTTGCGGAAGAGCTGGTCGAGTTCGGTTTTGGCGGAGGACATGCGGTCGAGGGAGGAGGAGGCGCGGGGGGCGGCGAGGGTGCCTGTTAAGGCGTTTATGGAGGTGTCGAGGGCATCTTGGCGGGTTTGGAGGGCGGCGCCGACGGCACCGACGGAGCTGAGGGTTGAGGGATGGGAGAAGATGGTGTTGAGATCGTCAATTGGGTCGTAGTCGGCTGTGTCGAGAGAGGTGAGCTGCTGGACGGTGGGGGGGTGAGGGTAGGTAGGGGAGGCATTACCTGCATCTAGGGACGAGGCTGTGACGGGGCCATTCATCCTGTAAGAATTATAATGGAGAAGCTGGCTTGCAGCACATCTACAGCATGTATCTGTTACTCCTGGGTATCATATGTCGCGAATTGAAGCCGTTGTGATCATGAAAGTTGTCGTTAAAGAGAGGATTTAAGGTTTGGGTGGTTCCCCAGGGTTGCATGGTTTGTAGCTGTTCGCTTCGTTCGCGCCACGACGCTCTATGGATCATTTTGGAGAACTAACAAAAGGACGTGCCGACTATCTCGACTCAGCACACGCACATCTGCGCATTTCCGCTGTAATGTGTGTACGAGTGTGCACGGGTGTGCACCACATACTATATAAATGTTGGTTAGAATACAAGTTTTAATCTCAGATAATGAGTGCAATGTTTCCAGTACTTAGTCGCGTGCAAGATTGTATTTCCAACACATTGTCGGAAATAGGCGCCCATGGTATGTGAGAGTGCATCCTGGTGCCTATAACTACTCGTATAATCCCAGCCTTTGATCTGGCTTCACAAACAACACATTCTCATCATAATCATGAGTTCTTCTCCTCTAACCCCGCTTTCAAGGTCCCTAAATGATGATGAGCGACGATTCAATCCATTACCTCGCCGTGTGAGTGGGCGGAGGACTACCATCCTGGTGGTTCGAACGATCGATACGAGAAGGAAGGAGCGGCCCCATTAACTAAGGAAGGAGCGACCGTGTAAAACGGGAAAGAGCGACCCCTTAACTGAGGAAAGAGCAACCAACTCGAGGAGGACGGAACGACCCTTTTCGAACCGTGGAAAATTTATGTGGCATGTTGGTAAGGTATGTTTGAGGCGTGCATCCGTGGCATATGGGTGTGCTAGGGGATATTTAGAGAGCCAGGGGTGTGCTAGATTAGTCTGTGGGGGTTGGTGAAGGGGATGAGGGTGAATTGTGATGTGGTGGAGCTTTTGATGATTGAGTAGTGCAATGTAGCGTCTTTGACTTGATAAGAAACGTTGATATTGTCGGGAGTTTGCGGGTTCTATATCTAATCACGGATTTGAGGTTAAGGGGACACTTTCCTATTGCTGCGGTGCAGTGTTGCCCGAATACCGCTCTGAGTACTACTCGAGGATGCTCGAGTAGAGTACTCAAAATTGAAGCTCGAGTACTGGTATTCGAATACCAGTACTCGAATACCTCGAGTAGTACTCGAGCTTTAAATAGATATTGATATAATACTGTTTTTTTTTACTATTCTAACTCTCATTATCTACATCGTCGCCGCTGTCTTCGTCGTCGCCTTGTGATAAAACACCCTAATTCCGTAGGCAGAGTAGATATCTAAGTGTAGAAGGTGATAATCGGTTCCATTTCTTTGTAATAATATCACCACTAACACTAAATACTCGTTCCGAGTCCGCTGAGGTAGATAGAATAGCTACATAATCCTTCGCAATAGAACTAATTAATGGATATTAGTATTACTTACTCTGCTAATACTTAAGAATAATTGCCAGAACGATTGGCTTTTAATAAGGCGTAATGGTAGGTTATTTGATACTATGAAAGAGAGAACAAGCTCTCTATATTTCAACGAACTTAGTGCGTTAATAGGTGCTTAGCGGGGCTAGAAGAAAGCAGAAGTAGAAGTAGAGGGCGTTGATGAGCTTCGAATTAAGGATATTTCATATTCTGCATGCACCGATGGGTGCTGCTTCTTAAGATGCTTCTATAGATTGCTCGTTGTCTGGTTCTTTAGTGGCTGGCTCTACGTATATCTATAATTGATTTAACGGCATTAGTATTGAATTCTAGTAGGTACTATATCTAATAAAGTACAGTAGAATAGTCCTTTAGAAAAGAGGATTAAAGTAGAATTAGGTAATTGAAGCCGTAGAGGCATATGCGGCATCGAAATAAGGGGCATTAGAATAAGGGGCGGCAGCTCTAAAGTATCAGACTGATACTCAGCCGGCACCGGCGACAGCGAAGAGTCACTCATTACAGGAAGTAATACAGAAGCTTCAATTATTATCTATTCTACGATCTATATTACCCCTCTTTGCCAAGGGCGGCAGTATTCGAGTATTCGGAGAACTACTCGGCGAATACTCGAGTACTCGAAAATATCACCGAGTAGAGTAGTACTCGGGGTATTCGGCGAGTAGTACTCACGGCGAGTACTACTCGGGCAACACTGCTGCGGTGAGCTGGAAGCTGAAAATTATTAGAGAAGGGAAGATATGGGATGGGGCTTAGTGCGTTCAGCTTGAAATAGGGGATTATTTTTATATAATGAGTTGGAAGAAGTAATATGACGGCGATCATGAGGCTATATCCGTGTGCTAAATTAGTTCACTAACGGCGCTATGTTATTTACCTACATGGCTCTAATTTTCGAATTAGTTCTAGTTGTTCAAACCTAGGCGTTAACATACCCCCCTAAACTACAATCTCCCCCTTCATAACCTGCACTGCCGATCCTCCTAACACAACCCTCTTTACATCCCCCGTCCCCTTCTCAAGCTCAACCTCCGTCTTGATCTCGCTCGGTCTTCCCATATCAACGCCCTGTTTAATCTCAAACGAGGTGGTTATAGAGGTACTGTCAGACGCACTCTTTCCCCCCTCACTCAACACCTTCTTCGCCCAAAAAACCGAGAACGCCGACGCCGCGCTCCCTGTCGCCGGATCCTCCAACGCACCCAAATTCGTCACCATCCTCGCACTAATCTGCACCGTCCCGTCTTCTTTGCGGCCGTTGTTGACAAAATACCATGTCCCCAGCAGACCGCCAGTGAACCAGGGATGGTCCAGGTTGCCGCGGAGCTTGGTGGCGTCGACCGACCCGGAGACGGTTGACAGGACCTCATTTGAGGGGAGCTCCACCATGACGAAAGTGAGTTCCTTGACGATTGAGACGACCGATAATGGTCCGAGGATTTTTTTCGCTAGGGAAGCTGGAACTCCGGCCCCAGCGGCTTCCTCGGGGGACAGTTGATGGCTGTGGGCGTGGAAATCATGAGGGACCTCGATGAACGCCATGCCCCGCTCGGCATCAAACTTATACGGGATCGGACCCGCTTTGGTGATGATCTTTCTGCCGATTCCAGAGTCGGAGCTTGATGATTGATGGGCTGAAAGGATATGGGCTGCCCCTATCGTTGGGTGCCCAGCAAATGGTAACTCGGCATCGGTCATGAAGATATCAATTCTGTGCTCCGCAGCCCCTTGATCTTCCGACTCATGGATGAATATGGTCTCGGAATAGTTAAATTCCCGAGCGATAGTCTGCTTCTGGGCCTGCGTTAGAGTGTTTCCTGGTGGTATGCGAACAACACCTAGGGGATTGCCGGCGTAGCGGGAGGTGGTGAAGACATCCAGTGTCTCGTATTGGAGACGGGTTGGGGTGGACATGATTAGTGTGCAGTTCACTGTCGATGATGATTGTTTCGGGGATGAAAAAGGAAGGCTTGTTAATAGAGATATTTATTTAGTTGAGTCCGTGACTCATCACTTTAATACCTCTCTTTTGGGTAACTGAGTAATTGCCAACTACAGTAACATCACGGGTTTTCGTTTGTAGTGGCCTTATCTAGCCAGAATCTTAAGGCCAGAATCATATCCATGGAGCGAGGTAATATATTGAGGCTACCGAGTGAGGCATGAATAGACCAGAAGATAACTATTACTACTACTGCTACACCATCCGATATATGAAAATTCGAAGAGAAATGGTTTCCAAGACTGGATCAGGGAGAGAATATGAGAGGTGGCGTAAGGGCGTTCGTGGAGAAGAGAATACCCGAACACAAGGCGAGCAAGTTATAATCCGATGAATACGGAAGACTATATGCGATACAAACACATGGCACCAAACGTGTAATAAACTAACTGCCATAGCAGTTAGAATCTTTTGATATCTATCTCAAGCGCCTAATCCCCAATCTAAAGTCTATACCTATATAATGTTTCATGAAATATGTTAACCATACTAATTAGTGCGTTGTAAATGCCACTCTTAATGACAAAAAAAAAAAAGGCCATAACATAAGCAATAAAAAAAAGAAAAGTTTGTATGTTATAGAAACATATGTAATGACAGGTCGACTATTCGGCCTTCTTAGTAGCTTTAGTCCTCAGCCTCATTAGAAGGTAAACCATGCTGTACGAGCTGATCGCGAAGATGACGACGATGGCAGCATCTCTCCAGCCGTAGTAGTAGTCCTTTAGGTTGATAGTGTAAAGGTAGTCGCTGCCCTGTCGGTACTGGCAGACTTTGCAGCCCGAGGTCGCGTCTGGGTTGACGAGGTTTGCTCCAGAACCCATTCCCTGGAGATAATCTGACAGGTATGATGCGCAGGTTGTTCCGTTTGGTGTATCGAATATGGCGAATTCTCGCTCGGAACAATTGACCGTCTTATCGTAGATATCAAATACTAGCATGCTACCCATCAGATAGTTGAAAGGATTGAGGTAGTATATCCAGTACCTCCAGAAGCTCTGGATCTGTGCGTATGGGACTAGGACTCCGCAGAAGGACACGAGGGTACCGATAATAACGGGGTTGCAGAGTGAGGCAAAAGTTGCGTTAGGTGCGTATGCAGCGATGAACTGACCAATACCGGTGTAGATGAACTCGTACATAAGCATGACGAACAAGGTCGCACCGGCTTTGTTAGAGTCGCTGGAGAAGCCGACGGTGTAGTACCAGCACACAAAGTAGAGTACGGCGCAAACGCAGAGATACGGGACCTCAGAGGTAACCAAGCCGGTAACAAATGCAATCCACGAATACATCTTGGACTTCTTCTCTCGGGCCTCGTAGATGCTGCGTCGTTCGATGAAGAGCGGCTGGAGCTGGTTAATTACACCAGGCGCTACAAAGATGAAATTGAAGATCGTGAACAACGCGAGCTGTAGATCGCTGACGCTGTCACCGATCATCCAGAATGAAAACCCATTGAACAATGCAGATCCGATGTGCAATGCAAATTTGTTGTTCACATAGTCTGTATTGCGGTATAGAGACACGTTCATCCGTTGGCTAACGATCTTAGTCTGCTCCCATAGAGACATGGCGAATTCGTGGCCGTCGTCAATTGTACCAGGGGGTTTGGCTGCCGCGTCCTTAATGATATTGTCTAGCTCTTTAGTGACACGTTCATGTTCCGGTGACTCTAACCAGATCTTGTTCCAGTCCCTACCCTGAGACAAATGGCCAGATACAACGTCGATCATGTGTTCTGCTGGATTTGCCTCCAAGGGGCATGGGGCTCCATAGCGTCCGAAGTACTCCTTGATAGTCTGTGCCTGGTACCCAATATCGCCAAAGTAAACAGACTTCCCCCCTTTAGCGAGAAGCAAGAGCGTATCGAACTGTGCAAACAACTGAGCTGAAGGTTGATGAATTGTCACTAGAACTGCTTGGCCGACATCTGCGAGCTTCCTCAGAAATCGGACAGTGTTGTATGCGGATTGGCCGTCCAAGCCAGATGTGGGCTCGTCTAAGAATATGAGGATACTGGGCTTTGAGACAAGTTCGACACCGATCGTGACACGTTTCCTCTGCTCTACAGATAGACCGGCACCAACCTGCCCAATGAGGGTGTCGGCAATGTCGTGCAGCTCTAGTAGGTCAATGATAATGTTGACGTACTTTAGCTTCTCCTCTCTTGGAGTATCGCGAGACTGACGGAGAAGGGCGGAGAATTCCAAGGCTTCTCGGACGGTGGCAAACGGTTCATGTACATCGAGCTGTTCGCAGTATCCAGCGGACCTCTGGAACGAGATAGGGACATCACGTCCATCGACCAAAATAGACCCCTTAATCGTCCCGTCTGTTTTTCGTTGGGCTAGCACATCAAGCAGCGTCGTCTTACCAGCACCAGAAGAGCCCATTAGAGCTCCGAGCATGCCAGGCTTGACCCACCCCTGAACATCATCTAGAAGAACGCGATCTCCAGAAGGTGTCTTGACCGTATACGACAGGTTCTTCCAGGTGAAGACGGAAGTGTTGCGAATCAGTTCTTCATCGACATTATCATTCTCAACAACAGTTCCAGAAGAACTTCCGGCGGGTGTCTCTTTCCGAACCTGTGCTTCCTCGTCAACTTTAACAGCCTTAAACTCTTTCGTGGACTCTCGGGGAATCAGCAGAGATGGGCCACTGTCTGATGCGGCGCGCCATTTTGTTGTCGCAACAATGGTGATAACGACAAAAAAGAACCACCAAGCCCAAACGATTCCGAAGTTCCTCCACATAGTTGAATAGCTGTAGCTGAGAGAACCAAGATATTGATCGCCCGTAAGTGTAACCTGGCCTTGAACTGCACCCCCAACGCCCGCACATGACTGGTAAGCGGAGTCTGTGTATGTGGCACCGTTGGGAACGAGATTTGGGCCAATACACGGGATTGTTTTGCCATGAAATTCATTAGACAGTAAAGCTGAGAAACCGTAGGCCAGGGGGTCAATCCAATATATCCACACAAACCATGGATGCATCTCCGGTTTTGTGATCATGTATCCTGTGTACATGATCAACGCAGATACAAGGAAGCCTGAAACTTTAGAGGCTCCGTCAAACGTGGAGAAGGCGGCACCAATCCCTCGGAACATGGCGGTCATACACATGGTTGTCGCTACCACGATAATCCAAAATGTGAAGAAAGCCGAAGCGGTGGCTGTTAGGCCCACCATGAAATAGAGGACGATCGAGAAAATGCTGACTTGGAACAGAATGACTGGAATATCTGCTGCGATCTGTGCAATGCAGAATGCTGCTGGGTGGAAATATGCGAATTGTTTATGCTTGATCAGAACGGGCCGTCCGCTGAAAGAGTCGGTCACTTCTGACATGGCCATCAAACTGTTGTAGAGCAACGCAAAGAAGAGGGCGCCGGATTTGATGAAGAGACCACCGGAGTTGTTCGGTGCGTTGTAAAACAGCGAACCGGAAATCAAGGCCTGCACGAGAGTGGAAATTTGCTTGATGAGAAAAGTGGCCTTATCTCCCCATATGATCTGATATTGCCGGGTGATACAAGCTGTAACCTGTTGTGGAAAGCTTGTTGTGAAAGAACTCGAGGCTGGAAGGCGCTTGTGTTTCTCCTCTGCCACTGCTTGTTTAAACTCCTCCGTCCACGCCTTGGCTTGTGCAGTGTTTGGATAGTCGGACTCTGCCGCCATCCGCTCCCGTATTTGTGATTTCTCATACTCAGCGAGAAGCACGGTAGCATTCCTCGGGAAGCTATTCTCGTAGCCATCTCGTATTTCTCGCTCTGTTGGCACCGTGACTCCTGTAAGATAGTCGGCTACATTGGCCCCGTTTCCGCAGATGAATCCAAGATCCTCCATGAATGGCTGGGCGTCTTTTGTTGGGCCGTAGTATATCTGTTTTCCGCCATCGAGCACAAGGGCTTTATCGAAGAGATTGTAGATTCCGTTACCAGCTTGGTATAACGTGACAATGGAGGCAATTCCAAGAGTATCAGTCAACGCCCGCACTGCCTTTGTGTAATCGAGAGCTGAACTTGCATCCAAACCACGCGTGCTATTGTCCCAACAGAAGACGGAGGCGTTTGTCGCGAGAGTTTCGATGATCGATACACGCTTCCTCTCACCTCCAGACACTCCGCGAACGAATTCGTTTCCGACCTTAGTGTCATTTGTGTGCTCGATGCCCATAGACTCAAGAAGGAACTGCTTCCTCTCTTTTTGGGATTGTTGCGAAGAGTCGACTCCATTGGGAAGCTTGAAAGGGACCTTAAGCCGAGTAGCGAAGTCCATGGTCTGGCCGACAGTCAAAGTCGGGAAAAAAAGCTCTTCTTCAGTGTTCATCACGATCTGGCCACGATATTGCTCTGCCTCCTTAGCATTCATGGAGCCATACTGCACATTGCCCGTGCAGGAAGAGTATCCAGCACGTCTATTAGCAAGCATCTTCAGCAGGGTGGTACATCCAGACCCGGGACGGCCCAGGACCAAAAGCATCTCTCCGGGCTTCACACAGCCATGGCTGTTATCCAGAATCGTCTTCAATGCCGGTTTATGTCGAGATTCCTTGATCTTTTCCAAGATATTAAACTGGGAGAAAACATTTTCGCTGACAGCCGCATCCGCACTGACAACCTCAACTGATAGATTTTGCCATGTCACACCCAACTGTCGACCTTTAAAGCCGGACTCAACATCACGCCGATGTAACTCCTCTACTCTCCCAGACAGCTTCCAGTCGTTTGTTTTGATGCTTCCGGCTTTCTCATTAGCCCCGGTTGGCTCTAAGAGTGTAACGACACTTTGAGTCTCGGATTTGTTTACCGCCTCGCTTGGCGACTTGATATCTGAGGCTGGGGTTCCCATGGTCGAAGCAGGAGTACAGCACAACGTAGAATCAAACCAAGTAAAAATCCGGAGGGGGCGGTCGTCTATCCATTTATATCTCTAGCTGGCGGCTGAGCCGGGCAGCCTACAAATTTATAATATAGATCAACCAGTGTTGAGGAGTCTGACAGTGCCAATCTCAGTGGAGCTGACTCCAGGGTGTCTTCCTTCTTGCCTACATTTTTTCTCCACAGGAAAACGGGGCCGGAACTTATAGACAACGCCGTGTCGATAAGTTCCGCGATATCTATAAGTTCCGGGCCCGTTTTCCTATGAGTAACAATGGATATCTCACTCCATACTTTCCTAAATTAGATACCACCTTCAAAACGGGAATCTCAGGGCCAATATCAAACCAATGGAAGCCGATCCAACGGAGGCGATAATCCTTGGTTCCGCTTAGTCATCGGTTTCGGGGATCTTAGGTATGCCCGAATCTCTCCCGAATGCCCGCTTAGTCAAGTCTGGCAAGGCCATGGCTTACTAAGCGGAGATCGAGGAGCCGCTAACTTTTAAGGCATTTTTGGGGGGTGGACGCCCAAGGGCCCGCCACCTTGGCAACGGCACCGAGGACCCCGAGGCCCCGGCGTGAGGTTGTAGGGGCATGCACCCATGACAAAATGTCGTCAAGCAACAGCAAGCCTCAGGGGGATTTTCTGCGAGCCACTCACGGGCATTTGATATAGGAGTCCCTGCCGTTGAATTATGAATTGTGTTGGTTTTGTTAAGGAGGAGCGGTTTGGTGACTTGCGACTATCCACGCTAATCGTCGTATCCAACTTCTCGCTCTGCTCAAGGTTGGATACGACGATTACTCCGTAACGAGTAAACTCGACCCGTACAGTAGGAATTGGTAGCACTAGCACCTTCAGTGCTGGCGACTATGCAAATTGGTGCTTCGATATCGTTACAGCCTCGTAAAGCCAGCCAATCGCGAAATTCGCCATTTTATATCCAATCAATTTATGGAGGTTAGCTATAATGTCATATAGTTAAGACAAAATCAGGTCGCTAAAACGGCACAAGTCAATTATCGTAGTCATACGTACGGCTAGAATATTGTTGTTTCGGACTGTCTAACTGGACAGAAATACCAGTCAAAGTTCTAAAAGATGCCTTACCTGTATATTTCCATTTTGAGGCTAGAAAGCCATAGTTTATACTAACTATCAAAATCTGATGACGCGTTGGGTTCTATAACCTGTATACCATTACACACCTAATTATTATGATCGAGATTCTCCTGTTTAGCTTTGCTAATAGCGCACTTTCCCAGCCTTCTTAACTCCGCAATGAACTCATCTACAAGATTAATATGGAAGAGCTCATCCATGGTGGGTTGACGGATAGGCATTCCCTTAATCAAATCAGGTGCCTTGCTGATCAACTCTAAATCTTGAGCTGCCTGCGGGTCTAGAGGGTTTAGAAGGATATTGCAAAATATTGTCAATAGAGCCGACATTGGATAGAAAAGAATCATCCTAGGTAGGTTTTAGCGACTGTAACAACAGTAAAGGTCTATCAGAAGTTGAGAATGGATGCTTGAAACAACGTACCAGAAACAATCATCTTCGAGAACATGCTGCGCCGTATGTAGGTATAAAATCGATGATCGACTCGCTTCTACTGCTAATTCGAGACTTGAACTCACTCCTTCCATGACACTACTCTGACCATCAGCCCAGGCCTTGCATCGACCGCTAGCTTCATGTATTATAGCCACGCAGTGATGGTAGGCCAGCCGCGATACCACAACTTGCATGTCCATCTCACTATCGGCCGGTGTGTCGTGTGAAAATGATATAGTAGGCCTAAACCCCAGAGGTAATGATATTCTCCATCTCTCTAGGTCGTTGTCGAGTTCTCGTATGTCTCTTAAAAGTTCGGCATCGGATTTTTGTAGAGCTCGGGCTGAATAGAGAGAGTTGTACGCTCTTGATTTGATCATGGTCAAACGCAGATCGCCCGGGAATAAGGGGATATCACGAGAGGAAGAGTTGGAATATTGATTTGCGTATAGTCGATCTAAATAACCTGGAGGAAGGGTAAGGTCGCAGTGTTCGTCGTTCATCGATGGAGGCTGTCCAGTTCGCAGAGATAGTTCCTTGTCAAACGTATAACAAAGCCAAAACAAATTCCGACGATGATTTTTGGTTCGGGATACAATTTCAGCGGAAGACGACGTTTGACTAGCAATAGTTGGATCATGTAAAGTATGAGCACCCAGCATGAAGGCAAAACGAGCAGCTATCGAATTCATGACGGCTGCAGATTGCTGATTGCCACCAAAGAGTTGGTATATTGACTAGACACCAAAGGTTAGTCACAGGTGAGAGATAAAAGCAAAATATCTTAAACATTACTAAAAATCCCATGACGAAGAACAGAGTTTGCTTAGTAAGAGTGGTGTTATCTTCAGAGAGCAAGGACATCATCGGACAGAGAAAAACATGAGAATATGAAAGCAAGGTTACTAACTAGCATTATAGCTGTTTGCAGCAAGTCTGTTGTTATGTCTTGAAGAGCCGGGGCGGCTAAGCTTTGAGCCTTCCAAGCATATGCCTCGCTGTCTAGCGGTAGCCCTGTGCTACTTCCACCACTATGAACGTTGAATATGGATACAAAGGCGAGAAATGCATAGATGCATGCCTTTGCGCTGGCATTCCCGGTAGGCTGCAAACTTCCTTGCTGGTAGGCAAGATTTATTGTATCTTTAAACAAGACTTTATCGATAGTAGGGAACACAAGGGACAAAATGTGTGAGCTGTATTCCAGGGCTAATTCTTCAACGATCTCTCTGTCAGGAAGGTGGACGCTGTCCTGCAGGAATTGCATGTCCCTAGGGACCGAGTTCATATGAAGGCTGCGCTGGTTCTGCCACGGTGGTCCAAATGCGTAGAATTTCTCTAACGCAACTGTCTGGCCTGTGCGTGATTTGATCCATTGCTGGCCCTCCGGCAAGAACAAGGGGATGCTATTGTACGAACTGATCTCTCTAAGCTTGAATCCAGCAAAATGCAGGTTTCCTAAAGATGAAGAGAATCTTGGCGTAATTCTTGTGCCAATTTTTGTAATGGCAGAGGGGCTTTTGTTGGTATCGCGTCCTATAAACAAGTTAATTGCTGGCAAAGGAGAAAGATGGCGAGAACTTGAATTTTTTACTCCTCTCTTCCTTCCTTGGGAACAAAATTTGCAGATAAAGAGTGGGCACGAATATAATTTTTAGAAAGAGAAAGAACAAGTATTAAAAAGTTATACGTACTAGATTCTTCAGACCCTAACTTTTGACTGAGGAGATTCTCAATCCTTTCGATGCGTTCGGCCAACTCTGTGTCCCTACTATATCCACTAATTTAATATTTAGCAACACTGACTAGCAAAATCTAGATATAATGGAAGGGGAGGGCCATACTCTCGAATCTTTTTCTTCCGGTTTGCTGGAGGAATTCTGTCGAAAGTGCATTGAAGATTGTGATGCTTGCACCAGTTGCATTGCAGGGCGTTGGTGTCACATTTTATCTAAGGTACGTGGTTATTATTTGTAAATCTTCAGACCTTAATTACAAAAGGATATCCGCAAATCCTAGTACCTTTCTTTTATAACAAGAATCACACGCCTTTGCCTTAGCAGTGCGTTTACGACTCCGGCCTTCCGGCGTCTCGTCCTCGGAATTTGGAGTGGATGTCACTGGCGTGTCCATACTAACTCAGTAGCATTGAACCTAGCAGATTAAAAAAGCACTACTGGTTTTGTTAATCGGCAGGCGCACCACAAAGAGATATGGTGATAAATCAGTGGAGTTAGGATCTCAAGGGTCTACAAAGTATATTTCGCTAACAAATCGGACCCAGTTATTTTTCAAACTGGCTTCGTCATATCACAAATCCCAAAATATCACGTGAGCTTGATTAGGGGGTCACAGCTTTTTATTCGAAGCAGGAATATTTTGATCAGAGCTCATATAATTCATAGAATATGTCGACCTAGGTTTAACAATGCACCCTCACAAAACGCCACCAAAAACAAGCGCGTGGAAGTAAGAAATATATTCCAAGAGTACCTGAGGCTTGACACCGTGTTTGGGCTACTACTAATGGAGATACTGAGTTTCCTGCCATAAAGGTCCTAGACAAGTCACCTAGCAGGTAGGACAGGCTCTCAGCAGGATGTCTTCCCAGCGTAGATGGCCAGCGCAGTATCGGAGGCCAGGGTGGCGGTGAACTGGCCGCTCGAATTCACCGTAACGTAGGTGTTGCTCTGGACATTGCAGTACGTCCCTGCAGACAGTGAAGTTTGGAATGTCTGGGTCACGGAACCCGATTCGTGGTTAATGGCGACGTATCCCTTGCTACCGCGTCCGAAACCGATGGCATTGTTGCCATTGTCCCACCAGTTTGTCAGCGCTTGGCCGCGGACGGCGTTGCGGAAGGCGACCATGCGCATGATCTCCGCCCAGGCGTGCTGACATTTCCACCCGTTCTGCCAGCAGGCGCTGACAGCGCCGTTGTTAGGTGGTCCAGCGTCGTTGTCGGAGAATTCGTAGCCGGAGTGAACATCCGGGGCGCCGTAGGGGTGGGCGAGCATGAAGACGGAAGCCAGCGTGTACTTGGCATTGTCCTTGTAATTGAGAGTGGCACCGTTGCGCTCCGTGTCGTGGTTGTCGACGAAGACGGCGGCGACAGAGCTGCCCAAGTAGCCCCAGCCCTCCCCGAAGTTGCTTAGATAGGCGAGCTTCTCGCTGTTGAAGACACGCTTGAGGTCGTAGGCGTAGCGGAACTCCTGGACGTCGCCGTTTCCGGTGTATTCTGTGGGCTGGACGGCCTCCCCAGCGCCATAGATGACTTCCTGCTTCCAGTACGCGGCCGGGTTGGCCAGGCGGGACTTGATATTGGCAAGGTCTTCGGTTGCTATGTGCTTGGCGCCGTCGACGCGGAAGCCGTCGACGCCGAGACTGATCAGGTCGTTTATGTAGCCGGAGATAGCCTTGCGGGGGTACTCCTCGTTGGTGTCCAGGTCGGACAGGCCGACAAGTTCGCAGTGCTGGACGTTGAAACGGTCAGCGTAGTTGGAGACCTGCGCGGTGCAGTCGTCGAAGTCGTAGGAGGAGTACAGGCCCGGGTAGTTGTACTTGGTGTACGACGTTCCACCGGTGCCAGTGCCACTGCCGGCGGACATGTGGTTAATGACGGTGTCGACGACGACCTTGACGCCGGCTCCGTGGCAGGTATTAATCATGTTCTGGAAGGACGTGCGGTCGCCGAGGCGGCCGGCAATCTTGTACGACACAGGCTGGTACGAGGTCCACCACTGCGCGCCCTGAATATGCTCGGCGGGCGGAGAGACCTGAACATATCCGTAGCCGGCGGGACCGATAGTGTTGGTGCACTCCTTGGCTACGGAGTTAAAGTTCCACTCGAAAAGGACGGCAGTGACGTCCTTGGTGCCGGGCGGTGAGGCATTGACGACAGGAGGGGTCACGACCATGAGGCCCGCGGCTATCAGCGCCACGGCTGGAGCGAGGCCGGTCTTGCGTGCCATGATGGAGGTTTCGGAGCCTTCGCGGAAACTTTTACACCAACAGTGTCAAGGGCTTAGGAGTACAGAGAACACACACAACAGAATAGAACAAACTTGGTAATATTGACTGCTGTATGATGAAGAGGAAGGAGAGAACATCTACCTATTATATGTCTTCGTTCGTACGAGATGGGACAATGTTCAATGGGAAATCCTAAGCACGAGCTTGCTACCTAGTAGTTAGGCCATCATTTAGAATCGTCCAAATCATCACATTTGACCGAGCGAGAAATTTCCGCGGCTTGGAATTCATTTACTTGCGTTAGTGAGAATGATATTCACGCTGGGTCCCTTCCTCGTCTAGCGCGCTAAAAATCGACCCCGCCATCTACATGTTACCTAGTTGGTCGGGCCGTTATCCACGTGCCGTACCCAGTCGGCCCGTTATCAGGTTTAAAGCTTCTAGTCGGTCCTTTGTTTATGTGCCTCATCGACAAACATTGCAAATCTTACAGGACCGTGCCTCGGCCCAGGCGGCTTGCTCTTAGAAAGTAGTGCCGCTAGTTTACCCCGTGGGGTTGCAGTGCGTTCTAGACGGAAGTGGTTCCTGCCTTATATGTCGCAGGCCCTGCGGCGGTATTAAGTTGGCACTAGAAAGCTAGACTATGCGGGGTGCAGGCTAGGATTACATGCTGTCTCGGCCGTTAATAAATCTTCGGCAAATCTTTATAGTTTGTACGTACGCCGCCTATTGGTGCAAACCCAAGAACATTGATGTGCCCCACGTTTTAAGTTTCACCCGCCATGCAAGCCTCCAACGCACCCCTCGCCCATTTTCCGGGGTGGTTGGGGAGGAAGTCATGCCAATCCGTCCAGTGTCTTCTTCCCCACGTTCATCACTAGCGTCCATAAGATCATCATGGCCTTCCCAATGCAGTGACCAAGAAGACGATGGCAATTCTAGCGGAGGGTTGCGTTTTGTATTTCTAATCACAGCTATAGGCTGAGAAAATACTTTCTTCGTGCTTAGATGAGCTAGCTGGTGCGTTTGTGCATATATTCTAACACTACTCTTACAGATATTGAGCCATCTCGCCGAACCAGTCCGCATCTATAGTGGCCAAGGTTTGCCTATTGGTGGTCTCTCTTCTACAGACGTAGAGTTACCCCTTCCGTAGGTGCCGATGTCGGCTTCCTCCTCGTGCACGTAGGCGTCATTGTTACTCCTTGACATTGAGCGGTCGCTCACTGTGTAGAGTCTCTCCCTCTGGTTGGCACTGTTCCTCCAAGACGTTGAGCGACCTCCCGCAGTGTAGAATCTCCCTCCCTGGTTCATGTATGTGGCATCGCTCCTCGTGGACGCTGAGCGGGTCCTGTCATCGCCTGACCGTCCATAACGGGCAGTTTCTTCCCCTAGATAGTGTCTCTGTGTTGGCTGCATGTATGCATCATCATCACTCCCTGTGTACGAGAAATCCTCATCCGATGAAGGTGTATAGTCGTTCTTCCGTGCCCGGCTCAAGTTATCCATGTCGTAACTACGCTCAGCTCCTTCACTAGAAGGCATATCATTTATCGGGGAATTGGCGACTGTCTCATTAGGAGCTGCCCACCGAGTCTTTCTGCGCTCCTTCCTGTCTTCGGGCTCAAAATACCGGTGTATGACCGACCCTATGATCGCAAAAAGAGCAGCCACCCAAGGCCCCCACTGCCCAACGGCATTAGGGTTCTCTTCAACAGGGATGTTTCGCATCGACCACTCGATCATAATCACAAGTGGTACCCACACGACTGACCCGATGCTAACACATACCCCTATCAATGCATATCCCTCCTTATCGGATGCGGGGCCATACCCAGATCGCATTTGCGGCTCGTCGCTTGCCGCCTCATATCGCTCATAAAACGTCTTGTCTAGACTCATAAACGATAAATAATCCCAATCGCTGCCATCAAGCCGGAGAAAATAGTACAAATTGTTAGGCCCCAATCACCAAGCGCGCCGTTCACAGGAGCCCCCCAGATAACCGTAGCCGCCTCTTGAGGCTTCAGTACGGATCCGCGTGTGAGAAAGCAGTCATATATGCATTCGAGGTTTTGCCTTCCATTAAGTTGCGCAAGGCCTGTGAGTAGGGTCTTGTCTGGCAAGAAGCATGCCACCTCTGCATTGCTATTCTGTGGGGGACCACCTGCGTCGTTGACGAGAAATAAGGCTAGAGTTCCGGTGATGATCATAGTGATAAACCAGAACTTAACGACTGCCACCCCTGCCAGGTTCTTACGCAATGTCGACGAGAAGCAAATGAAAGCTAGGAACATGGTCACGCTCACCATGGCTATTAAAGCAATGCTTAGTGAGTCGAGGTCCAGGATGGGTGGGTTCCGCCAGTGAGTTGCAAAGATGATAAAGATGTGGATCGCTGTCGTGGCGCTGAAGGTCATGGCTGAGGCAAGGGCGCCGATGACAAGCCACTCAAAATGCTGCCCGCAGACGGCAAAGATGAGAGATACGTAGAAGAGTACCCGAGGGAGGACGCCGTACTGTCCGCTCATGGGATACACGCAAGAGACTTGATCGTCGACAGATGTGTCGTTAGAAGGTGCGTAGGCTGAGGCGTGAGTAACGAGGAGGGCAATAGCGCACAAGACGAACCGGAAGAAGCGATGAGAAAACATGTTGAAGATGATAAAGCGTGCAGTAGTATGGAGCTATCTGACGAGGATTCTAAAGACTAGACTGCCCATAATAATGAAGGTATAATAAAGAGTGGAAATCAGAGTCGCGCAAGGTTAGAAGCCGTCGGGAGTGCCTATTTGGAGTATAGTGAGTACTGAGAACGCTGACTATTTGGTGCCCTGGAGTAGCGAGTAAGCAGAAAGAATGTAACAGGGAACTGCAGGTGTATCGAAAAGTTACGGAAGAGAAGAAGGAGACGGGAGAGAAAAAAAGAAACGGGAATATATAAGGCTATCAACTCAGCCAGGCACGGAGTGTCGGTGGAGATATTTCCGTTGAGCTTGTATGTACGACTCTCAGGGGGCAAGGCGCAGCAAATGAGCAGTTGCACAGCCAGGCACCGGCAGCCATAGGTAAGACACGGCAGTAGCTAGGCATTTGTGAGGCAGGGAAAAAGGGGGGGAGCCGATTTGCCAATGTCTCTGGCGCTGAGGTTGAAGCTATGACAATAGCTGTCACTTCGAGATGTACTTGGCAACAAACCAATACGCCCCATGGTAATATGAAAGACCCCAAAATCGGAAATCTTATACCTCCCCCGTCTTTGGTTTAACAGCGCTTCGCCCTGTCTGTCCCCTAGGCGCTTCAGAGCGCCCTGGCAGGCATACATACCAGTAACCATATAAACAGGTCGACTAAATTTGGCTGCTTATTATCCTATTCCTGGTACCTTACATGCTTGTTGTAGATATAGTTGAGCCGCGCGCAGCTGGTCTTTCTTGGCTGTTTCGTCAACCTATCTAGAAGCTTTCTCTAGCCACGCACGTCAACACGGCAGACAGTCTTGAATTTCCCGCGGAGCCTTGCCACCCTGAAGTATCATAGGAGCCAATAGGTTACCACGTACTAATCTCTGATGGTTCAGGCCCTGCGGTTCCTTCCGCGCCGCGTCCCGTCAAGCGACTAATAATTACACCGCACATATACAATGTGAGTTTCCCATGGATTCCCACAGTGACTTGAGTTGGCGCCGGGCGTCGGTAGGATTGCAGCATCGACAGTGTCTAAATATAATCGTGAGAATGTGCATGCTATATTGATCTAGCTATGATGCCACTCGATATACTCTGAGTTCTAGCTCTTGGGCTAGTCTCAGAGGAAGCCCATCCTCGTCGGCAGAGCTGATCTCCAGTGATCGCCCCCAGCATTGGCGCCAAGTTGTGTGGGCTGCGGAGATACGTACGTTCTAGCTCAATATCTCGCCGCTGCTGCGACGTCTCTGGGCGAAGAGGTGCTTGAGCAGCATATAGGTGACAAGACGCGAAATGAAGGAAGGTCCTGGGATTTTGAGTTTCGTTAAATTAGGCTGGGGCCCGACGCCACACGTCTGTGGCGTCACTCATCAGCTCTTTGCCAACCCCTTCATCTAGATAATATATCCGGTTATCCCCAACACACGGGTAATTATGCTGCATGTGACTCTGGCTCTCTGCCTCCCATGACTATGGCAGCCTGGGGCTGGTTTGCAACAGGCTCATACGGCTTCGTTGCTAACGTGAGTAATAATTTTGACAAACCTGCAAGTCCTCATCCAGTCTACTCATACAGTATACTCCGAACCAGTTCATTCCACTCCCACATCTATACCGCCTTTTATTTTATTTTCAGCTCAGCACTACGCACCTTCCCTACCTATTCAACTTGCTACCCACCAAGCTGTTGAGTGGCGGTCTCTTCCGGCATCCATTCACGACGCACTATGCACTGCGAAGATGGCATTTAACTCTCTGCCAAACGAAATACTCGCCCAAATATGTTCTTGTTTGTGTTTTCACTGCCGAAACCCCGGAATGTTCCCAAACTCAAACACTAAAGAGTCACGCATGGACAAGATTACGCTGGCGCGTCTGTGCCGAGCGTCAAAGATGCTATGCTCCTTCGCGCAGCCTGTCCTATTTCACTACTATGCGACTGGCAATCTCGCTCGATCGGTCCGCACCGATTTTCAGGAGTATAATCGCAGTTGGGATGTCGAATACTGGAATTTTGAAGACGATAAACTCCCAGCCTTCCTTCGCTCTCTCATAACCCGTCCTGACTTGGCGCTTTGCGTTAAATCGCTACAGCTTCAGGGCTTTGGGGATCAAGATCTTTGCAGCCCTGAGCTCATGCGGCTTCTTTTTAATGCTGGTAACGCACTTAATTTTAAGCCCCCAGCTGGCTGGCGCTGGAAGGGTTGGGCTGAAGAGCCTGAGGACTGGTCTGATTATGAGCCGCCTACCAACCGCACTTATATCGTATCTTATGAGAATTTCCACCCTGACTTCCTTGATTTCCACGATTGGCTTAGGGCACTAGCAATCGCTCTTACACCACGCACTGAAATGCTAATGTATATTTGCGAAGGGCTTTCCGAATTGGATTCGTTCAAGGAGACCAAAACGGTGCTACCAGCGCTCAAGACACTCGCACTGAGGGGCGCTAATGATGAAGACTATTTTTTGTCTAGCATACACCCCCTCCTTACCGTTGCGCCGAACCTAGAGACATTATATGCGCTAGATTGCAATGGCGTAAAAAATAGTCCGTCTAGATATTCTTTAGTGGCTAAAGGGGATATGTGGATAGAAAACCTTGCTGTTAACAAGGTGCATAAGTTAGTGCTTGATGAGATTCCTCCAGCAGTATTTGAGAAGTTGATAGAGCGATTTGTTCAATTGGAAGATCTTGAGTACTACATCTATAGTTGGGCGAACTATCCTAATATTATGCAAGCTATTTCTCCGACGAAAGGGAGGCTTAGGAGGCTCTGTTTTGGATATTTACCACCACCTGCACCCGGCCACTACGAGAGCAGGCTACCAGACAACGACTATGCAACCATCACATCATTGCAGGAATTCACTCAGCTCGAGGAACTCGTTATTGACCAGGCACTGCTCTACCGCAAATCTGATGGTCCTAAAGGCACAATACTAGTGACACTGCTACCCTCTATTCGAAGAATACATCTCACGTATGTATACAAGAGCATGTACGAAGATTTGATGAGCCTCGCCCATGAAGCACCAAGAAGCTTTCCTAATCTTCGAAGCCTAAAGATCGGTCTCTCGAGTCCAATACCTCCCAACAGAATAGCGGAGATTGAGAAAATGAAAGCAGTGGAATCTACCTTTGTCAGTATGGGCGTGCATGTGTCATGGGCGGAGGATTTGAAGGGGCCGTTTTTGTACACGGCGATTCCGGGCGGAGCTCCCGGCTTGACGGTAACCCATGTGCCTGCCTCCTCGGGAGTATGGGAGTAATACGAATGTGTTCAAAATGGGTTCTGGTTATGAATAAATTGAAAGGTTGATGGGAGTTTTGAGTTTTAATTATAAAACAAAACCTGCAACTACACCTACTTCGACGACTATAAAAATGCTCATTACTCGCTACATTCACGAGAACAGAGACTTCTTCACTTCCGCTGCTGATCAATAATCTCCCTCGCTGCTAATTGCCGCTTTCGAACATCATCAGTGCTATGATGGCCTTCACCACAATCCTTTTCCGTAGTCGAGTAGAATGTTTCATGAACATCCTAAATTAGCATATTTTGCAAAGGTAATACGGGCGGAAAGACGTTACTAAGAAAGCTTAACTAGCGAAGCTCCTCAGGGTCCAAAGGCATGAGTGGTTACCTGAAGAGCGAAGGGGTTAGTTGAGGAAATTAAGCCATTGACACTTGGATTAAGCCATCGCTAACTGAAATACCCATGAGTCGCTTTAAGTGAATCGGTTCAGAAAAAAACAAGCCAGAATTAACAGCCAGCCGTAGTAAACAGTCACTCTATTAGGTCGTATGTGAATGTTTTTCGATTGTGGTGAAATATAAGAAGTGATAGAGGTTAAATGGAGGACAGATCCTGGGACTTGTCATTTCCGCTATGTATAATTTCTACGTTTATTAATCTGGAGACTCCAATCGTCGGAACCGACCCTAAGGCTTACCTGAGTGAAACGAAAGCTTGGTTTCGATGATCATCATCTACTGAGTGAGACGAGTGAACTCGACCGGTGCCATAAGAATCGGTAGCGCTAGCAACCTAAGCGCTGACGCTGACGGCTATGCAAATTGGCTCTTTGATATCGTTACCAGCCTCGTAAAACCAGCCAATCGCAAAATCTACCATTTTATATCCAATCAATTTACCAGGGTTAGCTGTAATGTCATATAGTTAAGAATTCTACATACGGAGATAATACTGTTGCGCCTATATAATGCCCCCTCACCGCCTTTTGGCAGTACCCCCGCACTCCGTTATTGGGCCAAGCCACGCTCTTCTCCACCTTCCCGTCGCTTGGTCGGAGCCGAGGCATCCTCGGAGTTGGGGACTGGGGTAATGGCTAGGCTTTTAAAGGCTTCTATATCTCCAATTCAACTTGTTTATACTTTCTTCTCTCATCTGTTATAGAATTACTTACCAGAGTCGTCCTTTACCTCGCCATAACACACTCCCAATCCCATCTTCCAACCATTACAATGCGTGGAATCCAAGTCTCCAAATACGTCGACGTAAGCAGCCATCCCTCTCACCCCATTTTCCTCAGACTCTCCAAACTCTCAACTAACACCTCCCCTTCTAGGGCCCCTCCGCCCTCACCGTCACAACTCACCCCACCCCCTCCCCTTCCCCCAACCTCTACCAGATCACCATCCACGCCACCGCAGCCAACTTCTTCGACCTCCTCCAAATCCAAGGGAAATACCAGCACCAGCCCCCCCTTCCCTGGATCTCCGGCTCCGAATTTGCCGGCGTCATCACTGCGCTCCCTACCTCGCCTTCTTCCCGGCCAAAATTCAAGCTCGGCGACCGCGTCTTCGGCGCCGCGCAGGGAGGGTTCGCTACTCATGTTCTCGCGCCGGAGGGATCCCTCCGCGCTGTGCCGAGGGGCTGGACCTTTGATGATGCGGCGGGCTTGTTCGTCACTGCGCCTACGGGATACGGTGCGTTAGTCACCCGCGCGAATGTGCAGAAGGGCGAGTGGGTGCTGGTCCACGCCGCCGCCGGAGGAGTTGGCTTGGCTGCTGTACAGGTTGCGAAGGCGAGGGGTGCGAAGGTTATCGCTACCGCGGGAACGGCGGCGAAGTTGGCGGTGGCGAAGAGCTTCGGGGCTGACTACGGCATCAATTATGGGGATAAGAAGTGGGTCGAGGAGGTTATGAAGATCACAGGAGGGAAGGGGGTTGATGTTGTGTTTGACCCTGTTGGAATGGTGGATATTTCGCTCAAGTGCACAGCGTGGAATGGACGGATTGTGGTTGTTGGGTTTGCAGCGGGGACGATCGAGAAGGTTGCTATGAACAGGGTGTTGTTGAAGAATGTGAGTCTTGTTGGACTGCACTGGGGACGCTATGTTAAGGAGGAGCCGGCGATGGTGGAGGAGGTATGGGCGGGGATTTTTGAGATGATTGAGCGCGGGCAGTTCAGGGGGACGGTGTTTACAGACAAGGCGTATGTTGGGTTGGAGACTGTGCCAGCGGCGTTGGAGGCGCTGGGGAGTAGAGGGACGTGGGGGAAGGTGGTTATCAAGGTGCCACAGGGGGATTCGTCGAAGTTGTAAGGAGGGTATGTTATGTACGCTTATGAAGGTGTGAGCTAGCTCGCCTGGGATGTCAATATGTCCAATATGTCCAATATCTCGCTTTATTGTTCTCATTAAAATGTGATAAATCCATGCAGCTAAGCGCTTTGTTGCGTTTGTGGTGGTGGTGGCTGTAAGCATGTGGTTGGATGGTGGCATTGGCGGCGGGCGGAGAAAGGGTTGGATGTCGATAGAAGATACTCTAGAGATGGACCCCTACAGTTGTGTACTCTGTCATTAAACCCTCAGAACATTGTCTTTCTAAATAACTTCACGTCCTCCGCATTTCTTCCTTGTGTGTGGAAAGTTGAATTTAACCACCAACTATATTGTACTATAGCTTGTTTAACACAGCTTATATAATAAGTAAGTCCCAACTTAATATCTATGAGGTCGATCTTCCATGTCATTCGCCAGTCGTCCACTTCCCCCACGATTGGCGATTAGCGATTAGCGGCGAGGCTCCCTTGACCTTAACGTCATCCAGAAGCCCTCAGTCCCTCATTGCCTGACAACACAATCAGCTGCATTTGCAAAACGAACAGTTGCAGAAATACTATTCGCAGTTCTATTCGCAACCCACGTACTTATCCGCAGATACAGAACCTCACACGCTCCTACTCTCCGACAGATCGCGGCACCTCATAACGCCAACCATGTCGGAAGAGGACAAGACGGCCGAGGAGGTCCTCCTCAACTTCAAGGTCAAGACCTCCAGCGACGGCCTCCACAACATCACCATCGCCGACACCGCCACGGTCCTCGATCTCAAGAACAAGCTCGCCAGCGAAGAGTATGAGAACGTCCCAGCTGAGCGCCAACGCCTCATCTACTCGGGCCGCGTCCTTAAGAACGAAGAGCACCTAGCCACATACAAGATCAAGAATGGCAACACCATACACATGGTCAAGAGCGCCGCCAGCAATGCCGCACAGAACCCCTCAAATGCAGGTGCTGCCGCCACCCCAGCAAGCGGCGTCCCAACCAACATGGCAGCGGGAACAGCAAACAACCCTCTGGCAAACCTGACGGGTGCCCGCTATGCCGGCCAAGTCAACCTTCCCAGCCGCGACATGTTCGGTGTAGACGGTGGCGTAAGTCACCTCTTTTCCCCCCCAAAACCATTATCACACTCACTAATAACTCATCAGATGGGTGCCCCACCAAACGAAGACCAAGTAGCAGACATGCTCTCCGACCCCGCCACCGCGCAAATCATGAACGAAGCCCTCAACAACCCCCAAATGGTCGACATGATGATCCAAGCCAACCCCACCCTCCGCGCCCTCGGCCCCGCCGCCCGCGAAATGCTCCAATCCCCCATGTTCCGCCAGATGATGACGGACCCAAACATGATCCGCCAGGCTGCGCGCATGCAGCGCCAGATGGGCGGTGGTGGGGGAGCTTCTGCATTCCCCGCTCCGGGTGTAACGGATACTACGCCTGCTGATGCCTCGGGCGCGCAGGCACAAGGACAGGGACAGGCTGGGTCGCAGGATCCGGCTGCTATGTTTCCGGGCCTGTTTGGTGCAGGTGGGGGAGCTGGTGCGGGGAATCCATTTGCGAGTCTCTTCCAGCCACAAGGTCAGGGACAGGGCCAAGGTCAAGGCCAAGGCGCACAATCACCACCTGCCGTCTCGTCGCCAGGATCTCAGCAAGCCGGCCAGCCCGGCGCAGAAGGCATGCCACCCAACCCCTTCGCGAACCTTTTCTCCGGCGGCGCAGGCGGAAACGCCAATCCTTTCGCATATGGACTGCCGCCGCCAACACCGGAGCAGATGAGGCAGGCGATGCAGATGCTTGGACAAATGGGTGGTGGTGAGGGAGGTGGTAATCCATTTGCTGGTGCTGGTGCGGGGGGATTCGGGGGCCCAGGAGCAGGAACGACGTCGCCACCACCGGCGGATACGAGGCCGCCTGAGGAGATATATGCGGATCAGTTGAGGGCGCTGAATGATATGGGGTTCTTTGATTTTGAGGCGAATGTTAGAGCGTTGAGGAGGAGTGGGGGGAGTGTGCAGGGGGCTGTGGAGCAGTTGCTTGGATGAAGGGTGGCATAGGATGAGAGGATTATTGGGACAGATCTGAGGGGAGGTATGGAGATAGCGAGAGACTTTGATGAAGACGATGTTATGGCCTGGGTTGGCCGGAGGAATAAGCTTTTGAGAGCTATGTAGCTTTGTGGCTAGTATCAAATGACTAAATGCTTCATGAGACATTAATAGATGACTTTCCATGTCTGTTGTTGGAAAATTCGCACGTAATTCGAGCAGACCACAGATCAGACACGACTTGGCTGCAAATATGTCACTAGTATATGATTGATGCCTCTACATGCCCATACCATCAAGTACCAGTTCTAGAGTAGAAAATTCACGGGCGCCATCACCCCCATCTATGTACTACCTCCGTCCCCAACCAAGAAAAAGCTATATCTCCCAATCCCTCCATGCAATGCAAACGAATGCACAAAAGAAACACCCCTCTACCCATCCCCATCTAATTACGATCCAATCTCCTCCTCAAATTCCTCGTCCGCCTCATAAGCTTCTTATACTTATGCTTCTTCATCTTCAGCTTCCTCTGCCTCTTCACACTGAGCGCAAACATCTCCCCTCCCGCGCGCTCCTCCACGTATCTCAACCTCCGCTCACGCATGCGGTCCCTGAACGCCGTTGGTACAGTCGGCTCCTCCACATCTTGTAGTGGCGAGCTGTGCGCTACGTACGTCACCTCGCCGAGCGGGGAGGTGCTCTCCTCGATCGTCAGGGTGGCGGTGTAGGTGCGTTTCGCCTGGGCCGTCTCGGTCGCTGGCGCAGCGTCAACGGGCATAGGGACCGGTGGCGGCGGAGCGTTGAATGGCTGGTAGCGTCCCGTCAGGATGTGCTGCGGGAAGGGAATAGCGTCCTGTCCGTCGAGGTGTGTGATGTCGTTTGGCTCGGCGGCGAGGGCGGCGCGGAGGGTCTCGTCAGCGCCGAAGCTATCGTGGGTGGGGGTGCCGTCGAGGGCGCGGACGGTGCTCGAGAGGGTTGAGAGGACGTCGGCGACGCGGTGGGGGGGGTTGGCGGCGAAGATGGAGGCGAATGCCGAGGTGGTGATTGGTTTGGGGAAGGGGGAGGTGACGGAGATGGGGCGGTGGAGGGAGAAGAAGGTTGAGGCTGCGATGTCTGGGGGTTAAGAGGTTAGCTTCGTGATTCGACCTAGGGGTTGGGAATGGATATGGGAGGTGACAAACCTTTCACTTGGAGGTGGTGAGTGCTGGGCACACTGGGCAGGTTGTCAAAGGCCTCATCTCGCCCCTTCACGGTGTGAGCGGCAGCGCCCTTAGCCTTGCGGGTGCGCTGAGTCTTCTTCTTCGCGCCCTCCGAGCGAGTCTGTGCCGGGGTAGCGGGGACAGAGCCCTCCGCAACACCCTTCGAGCCGTCTGCCGGGCTGGACGGCTTGGAGGAGGAGTAGCGGCGTTGTAGGGGCCGGCACGAGAGGCTCTGCGTCGACACGGCTCGTGGGACTGAGGTGGCGAGGGAAGCAGCGATGGGAGATGGCTGAGCAGCAAAGGCTGCCCGCCGCACGGAAGAGGTAAACATGGCTCCTTCCTGCTCGTGGTGGCTGGGGGAGTCGTAGTTGTTGAGGTTGCAGGTGTGACGGTTCTATCTCCGAAGTCTTGCTCTCTAGCCGCCGAAGCGCAAAAGCTCTTGGCGTGTCACGTGAGCGTCGGGATGTTGTGGCGCTAAAATTGTGGGTACGTACTCTTGGGACGACAGACCATCGGCTATCTAACAGTGAGCAAAGTTGAAACTACAGCAAGTTATAAATTGTATATACACTTTGAAATTTTCGTTGGGGTGGGATTTTTAAAATAACAGATGCATGACTCTGGTGTTTTTTACAGAAAGCAGAGGTTTCACAGGATCAGTTCACAATTTTCACTTAAGACTGCAAATGGATTTTATAATTTTATTGGATCTGACTATTACACGACTTACTGATTCCCTTTGGTACTTTATTATCGGGTCTCCGTGAATAAGTTCAAATACCGTCGATAGCCAGTTAGCAAATTGTGGACGACATATACCTATGATCAAAAATTGAACGAGGAAGTTGTTTGTTGGCGGATACACAAAATCTCAGGGCCTGTCTTGTACTCCTCGTGCTTCCCATTCTCTTTTCCGAAAGTCGTACTTCAACAATTGTCGCCTCTTTGAGTATATACACATACAGATTTTGACACGTATTGCGTCAGTGTGGCAAGTTCGAATCAAGCAGCACCTGCATGAAACGTGTGGACCAGAACAGTGATAATCACGACAACAGTGGCACTGCAGACATAGGCGGCGAACAAGTAGCCTGCGGCCTTCTTCTGGGTCTTGCCAAAGTGGGAGATATCACCCTTGGTGTACCAGATCATGAACTGATCAAGCCAGCCAACTCTCAACAGGAGAAGAGCTGGTGGAAGGAGCATGCATATAGCGAGTGCAACATTCGAGATCTTGGCCTTGCGATCAGCAGTGTCGGTGGCCGTGGACGAATTGTCATGGATCCAGGCCGACAAGCGTGGGGGGCCCTCATGGATGTGCCAGGCAGGATCGCGCAAGAGAGGCTCTCCAATGAGTGGGGATGAGTGAACAGAATTCAGGGGCGAATCAATAGGACGCGGGGATGACTGATCGAAACGCGGGGTCGACTGCTCAAAACGCGGAGATGAATGAGCAGAATGCGGGGACGAGTTGATGCGGTTCAGGTCCGCGGTCGAATACAGATTCATCCACTCAGCTGACTGGACTGGAGCAAGAGGAGATCTGTAGACATAGTTCTCAATGTCAGCAGGTTGTGGGATGATTTGGTTCATAGGTCCCAGAGAGTCGGCGACCAGAGACAAAGGGCGCAGCATGCGGCTCGGAGAGTATGTCACTCTAGTCTTAGTTGGAGAAGATGGCATCTTGGTGGGTGTCTCATCAACCTTATCAACCTTATCAACCTTCTTAGCAAGAAGGGAGTTCGCCTTCGATTGAAGCTTTCTATAGAAGGCTCCAGGGGGACCTTTGACGAGAGGAGCACGGGCGCGAGAGTTGCCTGGTGTAATTCCAGTGCGTTCCTTCGCATTGGGATTCTGGTTGAAAGCGTACAGACCGCCGTATTGATGGTTCTCGTTCGCAGCCGGGCCACCATGAAGGTCAATGAAAGATTGATTATCAGCGACGGTGCTGACATCCGCGATGCTGCTTCCAAGGGTGCGGCGTTCGCTGTCATGGTCTCCCATGTATTGTGGCATCGTACCTCCATTTGCCTGCATAACCATTTGCATGAATGAATCTGGGGAGTTTGCTCCTCGGTTGCGTGGGCTTCCTCGCAAGTCCACCTCCAAGTGATCATCGCCTGCAACCCAATGCATTGGAGTTGATGGGCCAGCAAAATTGCCGCGGCCAGGAAGGGTCATATCCATGGTGGTAGAGATTGTTGGATCCTGATGGAAGTCATCATTGAACCTACTCTTATACTGTGGCTTCGCAACTGGGCCATTCTGCCTCGAACGCGAACGCGAGTAATTCTCCAATGGCGAAGATAGAGTATCCTCGGGAATGAGAGAGCTCGTAACAGCCTCAAAGCCTCTCTTTGGTGTTCTGAACCCATTCAGAGGGAATCCGTCGGTTCCATGCATTCTACGTCTGGGGAGCATAGCGGATGATGATGTCTCCATGACGTGCCCTTGATACATCCCATCGTCGCCATTGTAGCGATCACGATAGTGCATGACTTGCTCCGATTGTGCAAGTGTGAGGGCAGCTAGAATTGGGCCACTGCTGCTCTCGCCAAGATGGTCAGAGAAATTGGCGATGCTGCTCCCAGCCTCGTTGAACGCAGCATCGACGAATGGACGAATGTTTTCTTTCTCGTCATCTCTGCTAAACAGCATGATGCTATCTGTAACAGTCTCCCAGTCATTGGGATCATCTTCCTTGCCAGTGACGTTGCTAGAACCCGAGGTTCTATACTTTGAAATTCTTGGAGATCTGTCTTTGCCAGGAAGTGGACGGATGGGGATTTTGATGGCCTTGTCCTTGTTCCTCCTATGCCATGCCTTCTTCGAAGGAGAGTGACGAGTAGCATAGAACCCATCGGAGAAAATCTTTGAAAGGCGCTTCTGGTCAGATCGAAGGTTTCTAATGACCGATTTGTAGCTGGGGGGAGTAGTTTGAACTCCGACTTCGCCCTTCTTGGGAGAGGGGGCCTTATCACTGTTTCCACCATCGTCGGCCATTCCATGAAGTTCAATGCTGATATTTCTCTCATGGCGATTGTGAGTTGCCGGGCTCATGGACTTCTCATCATCTTCGCTGAATCCGTTCTTGAGTGGCGATGCACTGTTTGCCTGCTTTCCAGCATGTTTCTTGGTTGGTGTATTCGGCGAGAGGCCAAGAAGATTGTGCGTGTCATCATATGGCGAAGACGACGGGCCAAGTACTCTCGGGGAGGAATCAGCCAGGTAAACTCTACCGGGTGGCGCAGGTACACGAGGGAGGCCGATGTTGGACGGATTTCCCGTGACTGGAGCGCTGGTGTTCGTACCGTGACGGAAAGGCGTAAATGGAGCAGGCTGGATTGACTCTTGCGAAGGGCAAATCATGGGACATCCATGTGTGGCTCTGGTGGCTGTCGGAATATTCTCCAGGTAAACAATGGACTCGATGCTGTTTTCTTCATCGTAGTAGCTCATAAGAGAGAAATTATCATCGTCTACTCCTGCGAACTCCACATGGTGAAGCACAGTGCCTGATTCAGAATGAGGAGCTGAATTTGACAAAGAGACAGTGGATGGGTTAGACAAAGAGGTCTGGTCCTTATCTTCAAAGGTTTGAATCTGGTCAGGAAAAAGAATCAAGTCTTCGCCATTGTTGCTTCCCTCGAAGCTAATGTCCTCGTCATAGCCGTAGTAAGATCTAGAATCGTCGCCAAAGTTGCCAAAGTTGCTCTCTATATGTTGGACTTCGCCGTAGTTGTGATTGTGGATAACGGACTCCGAAGTTGAATGAAACAGGCCTGGTTGATACTTTGATTGATCAATGGTTGGCGACGATGAAATGAAGTTCACATCATCCTCATTCACCTGTGTTGGAGGTAAAACATTGCTCTCTGGACCGTGGAAAAAATTCTTTGGCGCCGGGCTTGGGCTACTGACGCTGTAAACGCTGCTAGTAGGTCTCACAGGTCTCGGAGCCAACAGATTGACCCTAGCATTGGGTGTGCTGGGTGGGTTCACAAGAAGGCTGGAAGAGCCAGCGGGAGATTCACTATCTGAGCGTGGAGAATCCTTGACGATTGAGAGACGTGGTGAGAAAACTTTTCCATAGTTGCGGGTCGAGAAAACACCCTTTTCAGATTCACTTGCTGCACCCAAGGCTCCAAATTCAAGAGACAGGTTGCGAACATTATTCAAGGCAGCGCGTGGTGGAATAGAAGGCTTGTCAGGAAAAGCCGTATCGAGTCTCTTAGACTTGACTTCAAAATGCTCCAGGGTAAGCTCGGTCTTGGGCAATGACGATTCGGTTGGACTGTTCTCTGAGAGCTTTGCTCTGGAGTTCTTGGAGGTGATCGATGAATGGGCCGTAGCAAAGTCATTAAAGACTGATTGAACTGGAGTAAATTTGCGAGATCCAGCAAGTGAATTTTGCGAAGGGCGAGTGGTGACTTTGGCCAAGTTGCCAAAAGAATCGCTGTTGGAGAGCGGCGCAGTAAATTTTGCGAAGCTCATGGTCGAATCATTCTTGGAAAGCTGAAAGGTTCCGTGGGTGGCTTTTGGTGCCACAGTTTGGGATGCACCAGCCATGTTGGCGGTTTGCACCGAGCGCTGTAGATCGTTCTCGTGAGGAACAATCCCAGCAATAGTAACGTCGGGATCCATTGTTGAAGATCTTAGACGTGTGAAGGCATAGAACAGGATCAATGCAATTGCTTGCCACAGGTAGGATACAGCGAAAAAGACAGGATTGCGATAAATGGATGGAACGAGCGTATGGCTTTGAAGCCGTAGAATGGTGCTTTGCCTAGATGCTCTAGATGCAAAGTGTTGATGAGTGGAAGAGCTGAAGGATGCAGCTGGGCATTGCCTGTTGCGAGTTTGATTCTTGACAATTTCCCTCACGAAGATCGGTGAGGTGATGGAACTTTGAAACAAGATTCAAGAAACGATCAAGAGTTGGCAAGATTACACCTTTCAAAGAACTTGCCAAGATCAGATCGATCAAGGCAATTATTGAATTTCTTTGATCGGGAGTTCTTTGCGTTGATGCTTTTACGTTATTAGTTAAAACGTTTTGATAGAACTTGACGAATACATACCCAATCTGTAGATCGAATCTACCTTGAGCGAAGAAGCTTTTCTTGATGGTATCGTGTATATTAATCAACAGCAATGACCGTTGAATCAAAAAGTAGTAGAAGTAGGGAGCAGGTTGTGGGTTTGGAGGTGGTAAACTTAGGTGGTAAACGTTATGAGAATGAGCAGGTCATGTTAAGCGTTAACCGTTACTGGGGCTCGAACTTTATTGGTCCAATTGGACGGGGGTGCCGCGTGAATACCCTTTGTTTTGACGTTAAGCGTTGAACGCCATGTACGGGGGGATGGGGGGCAGACGGGGTTCAGTAGCATGAAATCTCTCTAGCAATCGGCAGTCTCCGGCAACTACTAGCAGGCATAATATTGTAGACTGTAAAAGCTCGACTCCTGAGAGATGTTTGATATCCCCTCCAAGCAATTTTGAATTTACCAGCACCATGCATAATGAAACCAGATATAAAGCAGTACCAGGCGCACTACCCCATGGTACAAATGTTAAGATAGGAAGAGAGTTCTCGAATGCATGAAGCTAGAAGCCCAAATATATAACTATTATTGAAAGCATACAATGAAGACTATGAGCACGAGGTGCTCGTATGATAGGCATGGTAGAGAAAGCAGGATTTTATATTATAGCAATGGAGCAGACTGAGGAGGAATCTGTAGCTTGATGACGCCGAGGTGAATTTGAGAGGCATAACCAGGCTACGCTGTGGAACACTCATTCCATGGACTGCACTTTGAGTATCAATGGGAACCAGCTTTGGATTGCCGTAACTGAGAGAACTTACGTTGTCACTAAAACCCCTTTCCCGGAAGCAAGCATCACGAGACTTGGAGCAAAAAGATCAACCTCAAAACCCACACCAATTGTTATAGCGAAGTATACATTGCCTTCATATTTTGTGAGCTTTTATTTCCTCTAGTTGCAGTCTTTCATAAAACGAGCACAATCTCCACTCTCTTCTTACTCCAAGTTGCATCCTGTAGCAATGGCGGCAGCCAAATAACGCCAAACGCCAACCACCTTTCGTGACATAGTTGAACTTTTATGCCTCTCATTTACATCTCTTCTCGACAACGTTCGGGCCGAACTCGTCGTACTCCTTCTTCGCGATCCACATTTGGTGGAAGGTTCCGAGACTGCCCAGAATACTGCCTCCAATCCAGCTACCGAAGCGACGCTCGCTCGTCAGGCCAGCAGCTTGAATCTTAACTCGTGCTCCTGGATATGCTTGCTGGAGCTCGCTGACCAGTCTGTCGGTGAAGCCATTGGTCAATGTAGTACCGCCGGTGACAACGACGTTTTGAAGGAGGTTGACGCGAAGATCCATGTCGACTGATGCAACAGCAGCCTTGATCATCTCTGGGATAGTTTGTGACTTGGTGACTGCTGGCTCTCCAGGTACTGGTAGCGCCGCCTTCTCATCCCACATGCCTTCGCCAACTTTGAATCGGTCAACGCCCCATAATTGGTTCGAGCCATTGGGCATCTCGAAGACCCGGCCAGGTTGCGACTTGGCAAAGTCTTCATTCGTCGTGCCTTGAGCTGTGCCTGAGCTGAGGCGTCCAGGGCCTGGCCAGACTTGGACCACAGACTCCTTGAATTCAGTAAGGACACGCTCCTCCTGTAATGCGCGATAGCTCGAAGTAGGCGGGATTGCGAAGTTGTGGTACGTCGCTTGTGCGGGGGCACCAGCATCAACGGCTGTCTTTTTAGCAACCATAAAATGCGGTATTAAGTCCACCTTGGAATCTGGGGAGTTGAATAATGTGCGGATTTGACCTGACAACCAGTTTCCGGCCAACGGAGACTTCTGGACGCCCTTCTTCAAAATTAGGCCGTCGTGGATCGGCGTGACGGAGATGTTGGTTGCACCGATGTCGATAACCAAGGCGCTAGCCTTTCCGGCGGCGAAAGCTGCGAGAACGCTGTTTCGTGCAAGCCAGAACGCAGGACAACCCCACGACTCCATTGCAATCTCAATAGCCTTCTCTCGAGACTTGGCAGGGTTCCAGGCTGTTTCCGTCAACAGAAGCGGGTTTTCCTCAAGCGGCCTCTCATTATCCTCAACGCCTTCCATCTCTGCATCAAGGTCTTTTGTGTCATCGTTCAGCCCATTCTTTGACGGGTGTGTCGGCTTGAAGCTCGTCAGGCGCGAGGTAATCGCATACTCCCAGACCTTCGCGGCGGCATCCCAGTCCTCCACGGTTCCATCCTTCCCTATTGGGTTTTGGATTTCTAGGTTGGACATTGGTGTGTGGATGGCGTTATCGCCATAGAGCAGCTTTGTGGCAGCGACATCGCGGACGATACCGTAGTGACTTGGAATGACCGACTTGGGAACATCTTCTCCAGCGAATCCCGCTCGTGTATTTGTGAATCCCGGATCCAGCACCAATGCAGATACCTCATCTGTGAATCAGTCAGTATGGTAGCTGATGAGAGCAGTACGCCGTCCAAACTTACCTCCGCCATAGATGTTTGTGGGCTCCACAGACGAGTTTAAAGCTTGCGCCATGGTGGGGTATGGTTCAATGGAGTCGCAAATATGATCAACAGTCGGTATCGATTCTTGCGACTCGATTCCCTCTCGAAATATCACCAAAATATGTGGCTGGGGGCTGGGTGTCTAACGGTTGTCGCGAACGTAGCTCGATTTCGCGTATCGAGCCTCAACTTCGAAGGTCGACGTGAAGTCTTGGCATGTTCATGGTTGACCAGCCCCGCTTGGCAGCATACCGGCGACAAGGTACGCTACAGCCATATAGTGGTGTCACGCATCACTGGCACTCTTTCACTATTAAATATTTAAATATTCATAGTCCAGCATCTACGACAGATCCTCAAAATATTTTAATCTCACGCCGTAATAAATAAGTTTCCACTCTATTTTATAATTCTCATACTCCAGTCTGTATAAGTCACGTGTGCACTTCCCAGGACACGTCTTCTTTGGGTGAACGCGCATGTGCGAGGGGCAGGGTCCAGGCTCAGCCGTCGCCAATTCCCCGTATCGTATCAACCCCAGATTTATCCCAATCCCAAGACAACAACCTCGTCGCAAACCGCATGGTGAGAGAGAGAGGCTTCTCCGCTTCCCACAATCCTTCTCTCCCACTGCGGATTGATACCTACTTTTATTAAGTTTCCGGACGCTCGTTATACGGATTCGTAGCTCGCTGGGCGGCCACATGTGACAGATATGGGCGTTTTCTCCTCCTTACGAAGCATTTATGCCCTCGACACTCTAGACACCCGCTTTACCAGCTCGCCGAGGGTCCCATACCAGGCAGTAGTCGATGCCCGAGATGGACAGGGAATTGCGCCTGGCACAGATGTCCCAGTGAAGCTTGACAGCCGGCGGAAGCCAATCCCACCTACGCGGTCCTTATGGAAGACGACCGAGTTCTACCTCTACTATACTGTAGTTACTATATCTGTTGCGTACATGTTCTGGGTTGCCTTCGATGTTTCTAGACGTCAGTATTACCAGCTCCTTTGCAACTTCAGCTACTGACACTATCGTAGCATCGGATCCCAACTATTACAAGTATGAGCGCTGGCTAGCACCCGGCTGGATACCGGGTCGCAGAGTCGACGTGTCCGATGCCCAGTACCGAACATTCAGGAGGAACACTCCATATATCTTTGCGCTGCTCCTTGTCCATCCAGTACTGCGACGTGTTTACGAACGATTACGGCCTGTATCAACTCAGTCGAAGGCAACATTTTCGAGTCAGCCAGGGGCCGCTGCTGGAGACGCAAGGCTAGAACAGCGCACATCCTTCGACTTTGTGTTTGCTTTGATCTTTCTAGCTGCCCTCCACGGCTTCTCTGTTTTCAAAGTCGTCTTCATTCTATACCTCAACTACTCTCTAGCCACGAAGCTACCGAAGAAATACATCGTGCCAGCAACCTGGATATTTGCCGTTGGCACCCTGTTTGCGAACGAGATTTTCAATGGATATCCGTATGCCAAAATCGAGAAATTTCTAATGCCATGGGCTAGCCAAAGTAGCTTCCAGGGTGGCGCGGTTAAGCTTTCATGGGGTTCTTGGCTCGATGGTTATTCTGGGATTATGCCCAGATGGGCAATCTTGTTTAATCTCACAGTCTTGAGACTCGTAAGCTTCAACATAGATTACTACTGGAGTTTGGACCACAGAGCTGGTAGCCCGCTAGAGGTATGCCATTGAAACGATTCTATCATGTCCTGAAACGCATACTAATCAATTCAAGAAGAAACAACTCGACCCCGCCAACCTCTCCGAAAACGATCGCATCCGCACCTCCGCCCCCGCAAGAGACTACAACTTCCGCAACTACCTCGCCTACGCCATATACGCCCCTCTCTACCTCGTCGGCCCCATCGTCACCTACAACGACTACATCTCGCAATGCAAATACCGCTCTCCGACTATCGAGACCTCGCGCACCCTCAAATACGGCATCCGCCTCTTCCTCACCTTCCTCTGCATGGAATTCATCCTGCACTTCGACTACTGCGTCGCCATCTCCAAAGCAAATCCCGTCTGGTCTGACTACAGCGCCAAGCAGCTCTCCATCATGTCGCTCTTCAACCTCCACATCGTGTGGCTGAAGCTGCTGCTCCCCTGGAGACTCTTCCGCTTTTGGGCCCTCCTCGACGGCATCGACCCCCCCGAGAACATGATCCGCTGCGTCTCCGACAGCTTTTCCACCGTCCGCTTCTGGCGCGCCTGGCATCGCTCTTTCAACAAGTGGATTGTGCGCTACCTGTACATTCCCCTCGGGGGTTCTAACATCACCGGTCGCTTCGGCTTGGCGAGGACGATCCTCAATTACCTCGTTGTCTTTACGTTTGTGGCGCTGTGGCATGATATCAGTCTTAACTTGCTTGTTTGGGGCTGGCTTATTGTGCTCTTCATGTTGCCGGAGATTATTGGGACGAGGCTCTTCCCACGCTCGAAGTGGGAGAATAATCTTAAGGCGTGGCGCATGCTGTGCGCCGCGGGGTCGGTGCTGAATGTTATAATGATGATGTCGGCTAACCTGGTCGGCTTCGCGGTGGGAGTGGATGGGATGAAGAGTATCATCCACGGCATATTTAGTGATTGGGGAGGTGAGTTTATTTCCTCCTTCTTTTGGGATAAGTCACGTGCTAACCATGATCCAGGAATCGCCTTCCTACTCACCGCAGCAGGAGTTCTGTTTACAGCAATCCAGATCATGTTCGAAGTGCGAGAGAGTGAGATTAGAAACGGGATTGATCTCAAGTGTTAGGTGTGGAGCGGCATTATACCGTATTTGCACGCATGTACGGCCGAGCATAAGTTGGCGTTCTTTTCTCTCTTTTGGAGCCTGTATAGATAGGGATGATTTGACATTTTTTGTACATGGTATTATTAGGCTGTGTAATATGATGCCACTTGAGCCGAGCTTTGAGCATTTGATTTCCCTCACTCTCCCATGCCACTTTCCCAACGCCCGTAATTCATTGAGTAGAGATACTCGTCCAGACCCAGCCTGATCCGATGCATAACCTTAACGCCTATAATTTTCACCCTGCCACAATTCGAGAGGCACCATCCTCATCGCTTCTCCTTATCATCACCAGGCTGCACAGAGACATACTCGCCCTCACTGTGCCCAGCTTCCAGATCCACATCGCTCCCCCCAGTACTACTAACACTCACCCCCGACGCCGGCCTCTCCACCTTCCTAACCCCCATCATCCACCCAACCAAACCCCTCGGCGCCCACGCACCAACAAAACTATACAACCTCGCTCCCCGCCCCACCATAACCGTCCCCCCCGCCCTCCACCCCGTCTTCGCCATCTCGTCAAATACCGCATTATGCAGTTCCCGCAGATTACTCCCCTTGCTCCTCTTCTCAACCGCGCTGCCGGCTACGCGCATGAAATTGCTGCCATAAGCTTCTCGCGCATCATCGGACCATGTCCGTGCTTCCGCACTGTGGCCGGAGAGGGTCGCGAGTTGGTTCTTGGGAACCATGGGGTTGGTGTCGAAAGAACCGAGTTCGAAGTGTGTTAGTGGGACGTTGAGAGGGGCGAGCTCGGCGGAGAGGGTGGCGGTAAAGGATTTTAGGCCGGCGCTGACGATGGATTCGGGGGCGTGGAAGGGGGGGTTTAGTGAGGATATTATGGCGGGGGTGAGGAGGAGGAGCTTTGGTTGCGGCGGAGGATGGGCGTGGTGGTGTTGTGATGTTGGGGCGCTGAGGAGGGGGAGGAAGGCTTGGGTTAAGAGGATTGGGTGGAGGAGGCGGGTGTTTATGACATCTTGGATGTCGATGGGGGAGAGTGTGGCGACTGGGGAGTTTGGGTAGGTGAGGGTTGGAATGACGATCAGGGCGGTGAACTGGAGGTAGTGGGCGCGGGCAGTGTCGAAGGCATGTTGGGGGGTTTGGAGGAATTGTGCAAATCGTTCGACGCCGTCATGTCCGAGCTGGGTCTGTATTAGTGGTGAGAAACCAACTTAGGGTGTGAGAAGACTTACCTTTGAAGTGGAAACGTTGATAACCAAAGGCCTAATGTCGCTTCTTCCTTCGCTTTGAACCCGGAGCTCTTCTTGGACATCGTCACAGACAATGAAAACGATGAAGCCCCTTCTCTCCAAATCCAGCGCGAGTGACCGTACGAGCGGCTCATTCATCGACCCAGATATCACAACCACTTCCAACCTCGCTCCGTTGGTTCCGCGCTTTGCCCTCCTCTTCTTGTTGTAATTTGCTTTCCTCCTTTGCACCATGTATACCGACGCTCCAACCCCTGCGACGATGGCGGTGGTGAAGACTTTGTTCTTGAGCACCCATGCTTGCACACGAGCAAACACACCACCTGGCAACGCAGTAACGGGTGGTGGCGCGGGAGCTCTAGCAACTGGTTTAGGTCTTGCTGATTCCGGTATCCAGTCGGCTGATGCAAGTGTGTCCCTCAGAGTCCTTGCGACTCTGTCGACATGGTCTTCAACATAGTTTGCGATATCATTTGAATAGCGTTGGACATGGCGCGGGACGGAGTTTAAGGCATCTAGGAATGCCTGATCGTCTGCGGACATCGTGGGCGTTATATATTTCGAGCAAATAGGTGTGTGTAGGCGGTGTTGTTCAAGTTATGTTGTATCGATTCGAAGCTGGAGAGACCTTTGATCTGTGATGGCTGATTTGAAATGACGGGCTGATTCCGTCTTCCTTATCCTGATAGTTAGCATCGACGGGACCAAGCTTGAAGCTAAACCGGAGCGGCGCCTGCCAATGCCGATTGGCCAACATGTCTCATATCAACTATATCCAGCACATGAGGCTGACAAAGTCAAGATTCACCTTCAAGCTACCGACTTTATTTTATGATTCGGAATTATACTGTGAATCAGGAAAACGCTACAAGGTTTGATATTAATAATAATATTCAGTGCCAGTTGAATCTACCGATATCCCCCACAGAACGGTGATTAAACAGGACCTCTAACATTCAGTATCCATGGCCTTGCGGTCTATATTAACGTTGGAAGCTCCCTAGAAGCTGTTTTTAAGATAATTCAGATTTATATTATTTAAAATATTACCCCTAGTGACGTATGAAATATGGATCCCTTGATATATGATATTCAGGTGGAGCGAGGGCTTCACAGACCAGATGTTGCAATGAACACTCTTCAACGTGCCGCCTCGCTGGTCAAACCCATAATGCGAGCTCACAATTTCAAGGTAGGATTGCTAGCAGAGTTTCTACCAAAAGAAAGAGGCCTTCTTGGTAAGTCTATCAACCTCAGAACACAAACCATGTATACTAACACCCACCAGGTCTCAACACCGGAGGGGGGAGGATGATCCATATCCGCCTTCGCCATGCGACGGACCCAACACAGTTCTTCACGTTCCAGATGATCATAGATTCTGTTCTCCACGAGCTCTCTCACAACCGATTTGGGCCTCATGATGCAAATTTCCACGCACTATGGGACCAGCTCCGCGATGAGTACTATGCTCTCATGCAAAGTGGCTTCACTGGTGATGCATTCCTGAGCCATGGTCATCTCCTTAGCGGCAAACGCATCCGCCAGGATGAAGCGCGGCGTATTGCGCGTACTGCTATTACAGATAGCCGAAAGAAACAATCACTGACAGTGAACCGGAAGCTAATCGAAGCGGGTCTCATACAAGGTGTTGGTGCCCGGAGTACCCTTACAGGTGCATTTGGAAGGATGCAGATTGCCCAGGGCTGCGGCTGTGATATGCCAAAGTCAGAGCAGAAGGCTCTTGTTGCTGCAGCGGGTGTCAATGTGATAAAGTCCAGAGTGGAAAACGATGATGCGAACGAAGTTGCCATCCAAGAAGCACTATGGGAGCTAGCTCAGGAGGATAGAGCGTCGTCGAAGCAGAAAGGGGCATCACAAGATTCAGCAGCAACAAAACGTGGAAGGCAATCTATAAACCACCCCTCCTTGTCCCACACCTACGACTCCTCATCTAAATCCCCAAAACCCTACGACACCGACTCAGAGTATTCAGAAGATCCTTCACTCTCAAAACCACCCCCACAATACGTCCAACTCGTCGACGAGGAGTTTTGGCAATGCGAAACCTGCACGCTGATAAACAAGGAAGAAGATGTCTGTTGCGATGCATGTGGCACCGCCCGGCCGGGTACAGAACCGCCCCCGAAAGCGAGTTCGAGCAAAGCTCCCTCCAAGGCTGTGGTGAAAAAGACAGCTTATAAAGCTCCACCTGCGAAGAGCTCAGCTCGAACTCGTCCCTCTTCCAGCCGTGCGGGGCCGTCAAGGCAGGTTGCCAGATCAGGACCGTGGCAGTGTGCTTGCTCGCTCATTAACAAGGAGGGGAGGGTATGTTGCGCTGCATGTGGTATTTCCCGGCCTGGTTCATAATCCCGTAAAGCAACTGTGAGAGATATTTGTAAGTCAGTTGCGAAGAAATTATATGGAATTTAACCCATCCTATGTAGTGTATGAATTATTGACCGGGCTAGATACTCAAGATGACAACCAGTGGTGAATAGTGAGTGGTGGGCTTGTCCAGTGTATGGGACAGCGAAGTCTATATGCTGATAATATCACATGGTTTACCTGACCGCTGATTGGTCATTACGAGTTATTTTCTAGGCAGGTTTGATTTTTGAAGCGGGAAAGCAAGATCAGGCGCGGAATAGTTCTGGGCCAATCGAGCGTGCTTTGTTTTAATAAATTGCGTAGTTTTACGTTTCAATATGGCGGCGTGGAAGCTATTACTGTGAGACGGGGTGCCCTGTGTCCTTATAGGTGCTGTGTTGCGCAAATTTATGCATAATCGCCACAGAGATCGTGACCTTAAGTTAGAGCAACTAACGAATTTTGGTTTACCGTAAAGCGACCCCTACGTCCTACGATGTGATTTCGCTTATGTCATCAGTTTGCAAAGCTACGGCTGATCAGGACTATGGCTGACGCGAGGCTGAACTGAACCACAATTAGTGCTAATGTGGATATTATTAAGCTACAGAAAGCAGGGTGGCATGGATCTAGAAGGTAAGGAAACTCTTTGATTTCTTTATCTATAGTTGGGTTTCGTATAGCTAGCTATAGAGCCCTATTTGCTCTGTATGGCGCTGTTTCAGGCGGTCAATTCAGCTGTTTGTGCGACTGAAGGAACGTGTTAGATATAGTGCGAGTGCACCTTGTCCCAAATGCCATCTCAGTTAGCAACAAAGTTGACAGTCAACTCGCCCTTAGAGACATCATTTCCAGGGTCTGTTGGGATGCTACCGCAGTTCCTGCAGCCATGATCTCTCAGCTGATCAAGATACGTAACTGTTTGGCCCTTGGTAAAGGTGCGAGAGCCGATATTCTGGTAGAAAGCACAGAGTCTGCCGGTGACGTGCGGCACACAGGCGATCTGCTGCCCATTTCCCCATTGTCCCTCCGGGCCAGCCGCGACGGCGTCCCTGACCTGTTCCATTGTGCCTGCAGGAGAGTGGCCAACGCCTCCAACCCCGCAGGTCGAGCTGCCACGACAGTTGATGCCAAGAGCTGCTGCCGATGCCTCTTTCCTCTCGGTAGGTTGGGAATATTCTTCCTGCACAGCAACCTTCGGGACATCCTCTTCTTTCCTTTTATCTATGCCTGGTTGTGCGTTTGTCACCATGTTTGCAGTCAGCTCGCCGTTGTTCACATTGTTGCCGGAATCCGTGGGGACGCTACCGCAGGCTTTGCATCCGTGGTCGATGAGTTGTTGAACGTAATTGACAGTTTGAGCGACCGTCCACTTTCGACCGTTGGTTTTTTGATAGAAGATGCAGAGCGATGGCTCCCCGATGTTGGACGTCTTAACACATGTAATGTGTTGTCCGTCGGAGAATTGTTGGCTTTGGTCTAGTGCCCTCAACTGGCCTTGGGCTTGCCCTAAGATCCCTTTGGAACCAGTGCAGAGGCCGCTGCCTTGACAGTTAATGCCTAAAGCAGTGCTTCCCACAAACGCATATGTAGCAAGGGCGAGTAAGTTTTTGCTGAGAAGCATTGTTACTGTGAGAGATGGTAGAAGAAGTCTGAATAGAACTGCTTAGTTTGTAAGGACGATTGCTAAATGCTTTGGCGGCAATTGGTGATCAATGTCCAGGTGAGATATGAACTGATCTTTTATATCTGAACCGAAGCCGCCAACGTGGTAAGTAAGTCGAGGAACTGGCATGCAATCCTCTGTACTCTGTAGGGTAGAGGTAGAATATCGACCGTTGGCCCGCACATAATTCCAGTACGAGTCTGGCGCCACCGCAACAACAGCACAGAAATCAGACACAGTCCACTGCCAGCGCAGCCCGGTGAGACAACTTCCAGCCTGATAATTGCCAATCTCTGGGTGGTATACAGCACTTAGCGCTAACCAGAGATGCACCAATATCCCGATGCCAGTGACCAGTGCGAGACGGTTGTCTCAAAATTTTCATTTGCGCAGAAAGAAAGAGCGAGAGAGATGCCAACAAGTGAAAGACATAGCGCAGCCATGTCTCGATTTCTCGGCGAGGCTTGCGTATCCCTTGGAGTCTAATGAATGAGACTGAACAACCCAATATGTGATCTTCACCTTCAAACATTGTGATCTTTACCTTCAGGAACGCAATAATGTAAGTCAATTACTCAGAGAAGAGACAAACAGCCTAATAAAATGAGTAACATAGGAAGCCACGGTACCCCCCTATCGCCCTGTATATATATGCAGGCGGTCAATCTCCCGAGACACTGATCCCTACTTCAGGGACGAATCTCCGAGTGACTTGATTTGACATGTAGATCGCTGATTGTAGCTGGCTGCGCTGTTCTCTTCTGGCTAACTGGCTGAGATAGGTTTCTGTAGAGTGAAACGAATCCAATAAAGGGCGCACGGATGTCACGATGCAGAACTGAGACAATATATTCCCACATTTTCCCCAGTTCCAAGGACGTTTCTTTGGGACAAGAACCGGTCTAGACGCCGAGATATATTTGTGCGCCCGAGTTCCCTACGAATAGCGCAGTGATGTGAATTGTTATTGAACATGTGTTGATGGAACCTGCTCCCTCTCGATTTGTCATTCATCATGCACCATGGTAAGACTATTAAATAAGACCTAATTGATAACTACGACATACCTAAGGCTATGATTCGCCGATTTTCACTACGAAATGAAGCTGTCTCACAGATAGCACTAATCTAATTTAGCTGGTTCACAGCCACCTAAGACCCCTTAATCCCGTGGGCATATGAGTACATGCTGCACGGTCACGGCTGTCTTTGCGTTTCCCGACTTTACAGTTCAGTACCTATACTTATAATAGTCTAAATACATAGTTGAAGTGGACAAGGTTTGAATCAACTATGCAAACACTGGCAACCATCTCTTGTATAAAGCTAGTGCGTGCCACCTGCAGTCTCACCCGTCCCCGATCACCTCCCTCATGACCCCCGGCTCATCCAAACCTCCATCCACCATACACCCATTGAGGAAAGCAAGGCCAGTCCTTCTCATAAAATCGTCTGATATACCCTTTGAATTTCACCCTTGCGTCCGGGAGGGGGCATATATATGGACACGTCCCCACTTTCCCATAAACATGAGATCCCAAGAAGAACAGACTCCAAAGACAAACACAACCCCATATTATGAACCTCCAGTGTTTCGAGGGTCACCTAGTTGGTCAGTTCATCTGATAATCGTCAACACCTGTGAAGGTAGTGGTCTAGATCACCCAACAACTATATGTACCCAGCAGACTAGGGGCTCCCTGGTCTAAATATTATACCTCCTCTTCTCGCGATAGCTGTTCTTACTGTTAACTTTCTCCGCGATTCTTCACTTCTCACCATTCACCGCTTCTCACCGTCCACTTCCTCTCACCCACCCCCTCGACACACTTTTGCTTCCAACGCGATCCCGTGTTTTATTCAACAAACTCCCCCACTCCAGTTCATTCACCAACGTTCCCCATAAGCAGGGTTTCATTGCCTCTTTTAGTGAGATGATTTCTTTTGTGATGAAGCTTCCTCTAATGTAGAGTTCATTTATATACCAATCCACCCAACCCCCCCCTTTCCCCCGGGCAGCTAACAACCCATCCCCAAACCACAGTCCTGGCTAGAAGATGCAACCAAGCCATCTCAAATAATCTTCCTCCACTATCTGCATTTCGCACTTGGGTTTCGGTCGTATATACACACGGGCATCAACCTCTATCTTTTCCACAACCACGAGATCCCAAAAAAAAACCTCAGCTCCAGCTCCAACTCCAATGACCTTTCAGCCAGCAAATATATACCTGCAGATCCACAGTATATGATGTTGACAAGCGAGCTAATTACCATAAAAGGCGTAGTCATCCATGGGAAACGTCAACATCAGAGCCTCGCAGACAACCACAGCGTATCGTCGCGAACTTTACACATTTGGAGAAACTCTGCGTGGACCAGATCCGAGCTGGCGTTGGTGTGAAATGCACGCTGTTGTCAACCCCTATCTTGTCACTGTCCGCATGAACCCATCAAGCCACGAACTCACGAACTAAACCACGAACCCACCAACTCACCGCACTAAAGAATTACCAGACCATACATACCAGGGAAGTTATACATCACAACTCCACTCCTCAATCCGCACTATAATGTACCACCAGAAAACCCAAGGATTCAGAAAGCCAAAATCGATGTCGCCTGGAAAACGGGCGGTTGGATTAGAGGGATCGTCTTTAGGGGGGCTGACCCGTCTGGTCTGGGGGTTTTTTTGTGGCAGTTCTTCTTGTCATGAACTACTGCTCACTGTCAACCTGTTATTATTCTCAACCCCTATTCCCCCCACCATTCACCTCCTCTCACCACCACACCCCTGCCAACAACCTACTATCTCCCCCAACCACGCCCGCAGCCCATCCAAACCCGCACAGCCACCACCCCACCACATCCCCAACACAGGGACAAAGAACTAGGAAGCATTGATCGGAGTGGTAGCAACGTCCTTTTGCTGTCCAACCTTTCCATTGGGGAAGGGGGGGTTATATAGCAGTCGCGAACACGTAGCGGATGGCTGAGAGCCGTGCGTGGGAGGCCGTGCGGGGGACGCGTAGATGGGAACCCCCCTTCCCACATTCCCCGTTATAGTACTGGGAGATGCAGATATGAGAGAGGGGGGTCAGCTATATACTGCACCGGGTAACCAAAGGGATAAAGCAGCCATCACCAAACAAACATCCCAGCAAAAAACATGTACAGCATCACAGAAACTATTTTTTCATACCATATCAAATCAATCAATCAATCAATCTCCCCATTCCACAACCTAAAAGAGAAAAACCCATATCTACATATAAACGCCTCGACTACCAAACCGTAAGATTCACCCCTCCCACCCCATCCACTCCCATCCCCCTTTCCCCCATCCCTCCTTTCCCCCATACCTCCCAACCTTCTTCCCCTTCCCCTTATATCCCCCCACACCCCTATTTTCCACACCCCTCCAACTTAACCAAGTAAATCATCCAACCCACTTCCCCCACCCACATTCCCACTCTGCGTCTTCGGCGCTCCCGCCCCCCAAATCCCCTGCGTCGCCTTCTCCCTCGCCAACTGTCCCAGCGCCGGCCCTTGCGCAGGGGCAGCCGATTTCTTAACACCCGCGCTGGCTGTATTCCACAGATTCCCAAACGCGTCACCGCTCGCCTTTGGTTTAGCTGCTGCGGCACCTGAGGTGGTTGCTCCAGAGCCAGTAAAAGTAGCAGTCATAGGCGCGCTGCTAGTGGATGCGGCGCCAGGGGCTTGGACGGAGGTGAAGTAGTTAGGTTGCGCGGATTGATAACTACTCGTCTGCGCCGGCTGGGGGCGGAATGCCTGCGCAGCCGCACCAGCACCAGCAGAAGAAGAGGAAGAAGGAGCGGGGATAGAGAAAGCGGAGTAGTTCACTGGGGTGGATGTCGAGCTCGGCACCGGGGAAAGAGAGGCAGCTCCCATCATCGTTGAGAGATCAGCTTGTTTCGGGGCTGACACAGGTTGCGGGGAGGCGAACTGCGTGTACGCCGTCGTCGTTGACGTTGTAGCCGGTGCGGACGGCGCTGGGGCAGCGGATTGGAAATCGTCGAAATCGTCGTCATCATCGTTCCCCGCGGCGAGGGCGTGGGATGTTGGAGCCACGGCGCCGAGGCCAGGGGCGGGAGAGGGCTCGTCAAAGGAGAAGAGATCTACCTCCGGAGCTTTGGGAGCGGGTGGTGCGGCCTTGGGCTTTGCGGTACTGCGCTCTGTACCTGCGCGTGGGGTGGTGCGGGTGGGTTCGGGACGCCGCCTGCTGGAGGGGGAGGAGACGCCTTCGTCGTACTCGTCGTATTCCTCGAATCTGTCTCCGCCGCCACTGCTACCGCCCGCGCGAGAGGGTTCGTAATCGCCTCCGCTCTGCTGACCACCGAAGCCTCCGCCGTCACCGAATACGCCGCCACTGTATCCGCCGAAGTCACCTCTCTCTTCACTCCCGAACCCTCCGAAGCGACTAGAGCCGCCGCCTCCGCCGAGCCCAGCGCCGCCTTCCACACCCGTGTATTTCTGTCTCGTAGCGCGTGCCTTCTTGCGTTCCGTCCTGATCCTCTCGACGTCTGAGAGGAGCTCAGTGAGTTCCTTAGCGCGATTGCGGACGTTGATGCCCTGGTCCTTGCCGTTGGCGTCGATGAAGTGGAATTGGCGCAGCATTTTGAGGAGGGTGAGGTGGGAGCGGGCGTCGTCGATGACACGCTCGGAGCCGTTCTTGATGAGGAACTCGAGGAGCTGGAGGGCTTTGTAGATTTGGCGCCATTCGTCGGCGGCTTTTTCGGTGAAGCGCTTGTAGATCATGGGCATGATTTCGTTGAGGAGTTGGCTGCGGGGGAGGGGCGGTTAGTTGGGGGAGAGATGGGGAGGAGGGGGAGATGGGGGAGGCGTACTAGTTGTATGTGCCGTTGGCTATCTCTTGCATGTCCTATACAATGGATCAGTGTGCGATTCGGGCAGTGGGATGGCAACCCAAGGACTGCGGTCCAAGTGAATACCGGGTCGGGGGAGCATACCGTCGTAGAAGATCCCCAAGGATTATTATTCGTAGCCTCCCTAACCTTCGCCTCCATCTCCGTATAATTCATAACCGCTGTTCAACCCCCAGTCAGCCCTCCATCATCCCCCACCCCCTCCCCAAACACAATTGGCTTGCTTGACTTACCATTCTGGACCTTCCGGACGCCGGCCTTGATGTCATAGAGAGACAGGTTGGTGACCTGCTCCTTGAGGGAGTCGAAGTTCATGATGGGCGAGATGAGATATATATTAGGAAGTGCGTGCGACAAGGGGAAGAGAAGAGGGCGTGATGTCGATGGTGCTTGTGGATGGGGGGTGTATTTTATATATAATGGAGGCCGGACGGAGTGGACAATTATATTGGTGGTGCTTGGGTGCCCGATATGTCAATGCTGGCATGTAGCTGGCGGCCGCGTGTGGCACGTGATTAACGTGTTCGAGTCGAGGGAACAGGGAAAGGAGGGGTGAGTGTGGGGTTGGGCCAATGAGAGGGGTGGATGGATGGTGAGGCTTATGTAAGCGGGTCTGTGGGGAGTTGTACGCATTGGAAGAGGCGGTGTTGCTGTACACCCAGCTAGAAGGAAGACAGCAAGTAATAAATCCAATATAAATCGTGTAAATATTGATACTGAAGAAGCGTATATATCACCATCTTCAATCCATAACGCCAGAGCTCTACTACACCAGAATATCTTCTAGCACACGTAGCGTCTTTCTCTCCCTACGGGTAGCGCTGACGAGGCGCTGACAGCTGTGGGTGGGGTACGGAGAGCGAGAGAGCCGAGCCGTGGAGCCACCGGCGCGAGAAAGCTTTTCGAAGCTCCAGACGCCAATCCGCCTCCTTTTCCGGTCATCCTAACCAGCTTCATCACAATTCATCTCTTCTTTGTATAACAAGACCATCTTCGGCTTTTTGTAACATCATCTGTACCATCACCTTCTGTACCTCATCTCTTCACATATAATTTGTAAGTCACGTCCCGTGTCCTGCCCTGGCCTACTCTGCCCTTCTCCGGCCTACCTGGCTCTTCCCCCAACGAAAAGCCGGTGAGGGCAACCAGAGAAAGGAGACTCGAGTCCGCCAATCCCCCCACCAACAAGGCAGAGGAAGTCTGCATCTCACGCGCCGCACCGTCCGCACCGCACCGCACCGCGCATCTCAGCTGCCTCCGCGCGCTCAACCCATGTCTACCGTCTGCCAGCCAGCCAAACACGCAGCAAGCCGGCTCCTTGGTCATATGCAAGTGCAAGCAGGCAAGGCAATGACACTAGCCACACCGGCTCCGGCGCGTATGGTGGGTGTGTGCGAGCACGCAAGTCAGCACACGCAGGCGGTGTTGGTTGATCTTGGCTCTGGTTTGGCTATGGTTGAGGGAGCTGCACGGGGGGTTGGGGAAGCTGGTTGGTGGCTATATGGGTATGGGATGGATGGGGTACTTGTTGATTTGGTGTACTTGATTCAGTATTGTCCCTGCTGCTGGTCAGAGTTGGCCCAACAGAGAGATCAGCCATACTGAAGACACGATCAATCAATCCTTCCCATCCTCCAACCACCCTCCTACTCCAACCCGTTCTTTCCCTCCCCCGTCTGCACCACATGGCAATCACTCACTCAATTACCCCACGGCCTCGGCCTGCTTCACGGCATACCTCATGGGATACCACACGGCCACCTCCCACTCCTCACTTACCACTAGACGCGTCACCTGACTTCTCTTTCCTCTTCCTATGCTGAGTTGAAGGGAGTGAAGGTGGGCGTCAAGTGGGCGTGGGGTCAATGGATGCTGCGAGAAGAGAGCTGAGTACGGGTCTTCTCCCCCCGTCACCCCCCACCGTTACTTTACACTTCACTGGGCGGGAGTGAACGTTGGCAGGGCGTTGATAGGCGTGGAAGTGGGCTCCTCCCTCCCTTTCTTCCGTCGCCCGTCCCGGCCGGAATTGATTCGCTTACAACTCCGATTCCCTGCTATTTTTTGCACTTTGGGTCTCCCCCACTCTCCGTTTCAACCCCTCCATAACCACCTCACACACACATCCCACACCATCCCACCCCCAAGCTACAATACGCTAACCAACTCCGGTCTAGTCCACACTTCACAGCCACTCACAACAAATTGCCCCACCTTCCCAAAAATGCCCCTCATCATCCAAAGCCTTCGACAGACATCTCGTTCCTCTCCTCTTCGTTCTCTTCTTAACAACAACTTCAAATCTATCAACACTACACGCAACTTCCACGCTTCATCTTCCAACATGACTATCAAGACGTAAGTTATAAACATCCAATCCTCCTCATCTTCCATCTTCCTCTTTTGAAAGCTCCAAATCTGACTTTCCAAAAGTTTCTTCGATGTGACTTGGGAGGGCCCAGTCCTTGACGCCTCCGGAAAGCCAACCTCGAAGGTTGCTGGTACGTGAACCCTCATCAATTCCATCTCACTTCATCCTCAATCATTTCCCTCATCGACATCTCCATCACTGTACCCCGTAATTGAAGTCCCATCGCTCCACGCGTCGGCTCAATTCAAGCTCCTCACTCACAGCTTACCTGGCTGCTGCCCAAAATCTCGCTTCTTCAACAACAACCCCGCAGTGACGTCGGAGCTAACATCACCCCGCCCCCAACAGAGCAATCCGGCCGCATCAACTTCAACCTCTACGACGACGTTGTCCCCAAGACCGCTGAGAACTTCCGCGCTCTCTGCACTGGCGAGAAGGGCTTCGGTTACGCCGGCTCTGCCTTCCACCGCATCATCCCGCAGTTCATGCTCCAGGGTGGTGACTTCACCCGTGGCAACGTAAGCCGAACCCCCCCTCCACCCCCACCTCATCCTCCCCAAACCCAAAACAGCTTGCTAACACCACACCAGGGCACCGGTGGCAAGTCCATCTACGGTGAGAAGTTCACCGATGAGAACTTCGTCAAGAAGCACACCAAGCCCGGACTTCTGTCCATGGCCAACGCCGGCCCAAACACGTAAGCCCATTCATCCCAGCCTCGGCATAACTTTTTTTTTACCTTTTCCCATCTTCCGTCTCTCCAATAGCTAGCTAACCCAATCCCACAGCAACGGCTCCCAGTTCTTCGTCACCACCGTCGTGACCAGCTGGCTCGATGGCAAGCACGTCGTCTTCGGCGAGGTCGCCGACGAGGAGTCCCTCAACATCGTCAAGGCCCTCGAGGCTACCGGCTCCGGCTCCGGAAAGGTCAACTACAACAAGAAGCCCACCATTGTCAAGTCTGGCGAGTTGTAAAGCACTCTCTCTTAACGTAGTAGTGTGAGAAAACTTTATATATATATCCTCGCGGTGCTGGCGACGCTTGAGCGTAAGGTTTAGCTAGCTGCCGTGTGTGTGTGCTCAGAGATGGGCGAATAACAAAAGCTTCGGATCTTTCAATTAGTGATCTTTATTGGAATGTGATGCGTGAATTGTGTGAATTGTTCTTGTTGCCACAGTTACCTATCACCTGTGCCATACTGCAAACACCACTTTTCTCCACCCACGCGCCGAACCACCATAGCACTCTTTCCCTTCCAACATATGAGTTTTGTCATACTCGCATCGCCCAGTAGTCTATAGAGGGGATTGCATATATCTCAGAACCAATACCAGCAATTTAAACTCGTACAATTCACTTCTCCACTTCCATTTGTGAGCAAACTATTTAGCTAAGCTTATCAAGTATAACTCTGCGTGGTTCATCGCCTCTGCTTAAATCACACTTGCTACAGACAACTGATGTCACCACAATCCCTTTCCACACATTTTACACAGTACGAATAGCAACGGTTCGATACCGATAATTTAATCTGATGAGGTTGTCGCTCTTTCGCTTTGTTTCAGAGTAAACACATTATGGCAAGTACAGCTTTCGGTAATTGAATGTTTGTTTTTCAGATTACAGATCTTTGTAATCACCACTCTGGTCTCTAGTCCCTCTAGACTTTCAGCCAGCACGAGTATTTTTGGCCTCAAATACAACACCCCAACCTCACCCCTCCCAAAAAATCACAATAAGTCCACCTAACACCAAAAAAACGCCCCCACCACTTGATCCCAAGGTATACCCCATTAACGCCCTCCCCTCTCCCCCCTCTCCCCTCTCCCTCCCATTTCTCCCCCTACCATTCTCCTTCCCTCATCCCCCCCTTCCCCTCAGAACCCCCCCCCAGTCAACCACTCCTGAAAATAAACACAACTACTCGCACTCACCGGCCCCCCCTCCTCACAAAGCTCAAAAACAGGACACCTCCCACACGGCGCCTCGGTCACTCCATTCCCCCTCTCCACCGCCTCCTCCCCTACAATCGCCTTCCTAACCGCCTTAAACGCTACCCCCTCGGGTCCCGCTACCACTTGCTCGATGCGGCGATCGTAGATGAGAACGTCGAGGAGGGCGGAGATATCGTCTGCGGAGAGGGTGGTGGAGGTGATGGGGGAGGACTCGATGAAGAGGGTTAGTTCGGCGAGGGAGGGGTAGCCGCGGTAGGTGGGGGGGAGGGGGAGGAGTGTTATGGTATCTCCCCCCTGTGCTTGCTTGGGTGCTGGGCGGCCTGCAATCCGTTTAAGCGGCCGGCGGGAGGTAGACCGGTAGAACGACCGCGCTTCGATGTACTTATATAGCACCCCCGTCAAGCCCTCAATAAACGCCTCATCCAGCTCATTATCAGTGTACCACGCCCCTCCCGTCGCCTTTTCAGACGGGCGGAGAGTGGATTTGATGTACATCTTGCGAGTAGGGTGCTCCACGGATTTCATGTCTGAGATCAGCCTCTTGGTCTCGAGAGCTTTGAGGGCGGAGCGCATGAGGGATTCGTGGAGGGCGGTTTTGTTCTTGATGGTTTTGGACCAGATTCCTTCGGTGGAGGATTCGTCGATGAGGGAGTAGACCATTTCTTGTTCGTGGGTTAGGCCGCGGTATCTGGGGGCCGGGTTAGCAAGTGCGTTCACGTCTGTCTGCCGTTTCTTGACGAGGGGGAGGAGGGAGGGAGGGGTAGGCTTACTTGAGAGCATCTTCGAGGGGGCGATACATCCACCCCAACTGCCCATCCCTCACCATCTTGAACAATTTCTCATCCACGAGCCGCTGCGTCACCTCGAGAAGAAGCGCCGCGTCGCTGTCGGGTATGACTCCCATGTCCAGGATGTCTTGTTGCCGGAACACGGTGTCGGGCTCTTCGTCGAGACATTGTTCGTAGACTTGGTTTTTGAGGATCTCGAGTTTGGCGTCGGCGGCGGTTGGGGGGGGGGAGGCCATCGTTGCGGCGTTGGGGGGGGGAGGCGAGGTGTGAGGGTGTGAGGTAGGTAGAGGTTGGTGGTGGCGTGGGCGATTGCCGGTGTAGTTATTGTGGTAAAGTTGGTATGTAAACTCGCAATAGCTCCAGCGACGACTCTTCAATCTCGAACAGGCCGCGCTTCGCAGATCCCTTCTTGGTGCTGAGTCGAAAGTCTATCTGGCTGGAGTTAAGATGGGAAGGCTGGCGCCGAGTAGAAATATAATTTTTGGCGGGGCAAATATGGTTAAGGTTTAGGCGAGGCGGAGAGACGAGGCTACGACGCGAAAGTAGTCGATTTTGGTATGGACCATGACGTCTTGGGTGGTCTTTGCTTGGAGCGAGAGCGAGAAAGTTAGATAAGAGACTACGAATCACGACGGCGACAGCGACAGCGACGGGTTTTTCGTGATCTCAGATACTGCGACTTGAGCTATTGGGTTTTTTATTAAGCACGCTTGCGCTCTATACTAGAATTGGCACACAGAACACCACAGCCATGTCGGCACCTCCAGCAAAACGTGGACCATCAGTCCTGGTATGTGTTTCAGTCCCCTCCTCCAGCATTCGCAACAACGCATACATCTTCTGCCGCCCAATATAAAGACATAATCCTAACTCGCACCCAGGTCACCGACTCCCGCGAGCGCCTCCCACCTCCCCGCCAACCCGCGCGTCCTGCGAGCTCGCCAAGTAACGCCCGCGCCCGCATGCCAACGCGTTACATATCCGTCGACAACGTCCTCCAGAACTCCTCCGAAATCCCCTCCGGACAAGCGCGCCTACCACCTCATGCTCGGACAGCACGTCCGGGCGTGCAACGTAGCATGTCTGCTGCGAATGTATCCCCCGGGACGCGGACGTCGCAGGTTAATATACCCGGGCGCACGACGAAGGTTAGCGAGAAGCTTGTTCTGATCCCGGAACTCGAAGAAGGGGGGGAGATAGAGGAGGGGGTGTCGGAAGGGACGTTCCGGCGTGGATATGTGGAGGAGAGCGAGGATGAGGGAAGGCCGTTACGGAACGAGGAGTTGGATGAGTTGAGGAAGAAGGGCGCGCTGAGGGGGAAGAGTTATGCGGAGCGCTTGCCGAAGGCGAAACGCACGGAGAAGGTGGCGAGGTGCACGGCGTACTGCACGGCGCAGGGATTTAAGATGGCAGCGACGGCGGCGTTTGTGAAGGAGCAGCATGGGGCGAAGACGAAGTTGTATGATGATTGCCTGTATACGGTGTATCATCTCCCGCTCCTGCCGGGGAATGAGGGGTACCGGTTGAGGAGTAGTCCGATTCTGAAGCATCCGGGCGGGAAGGCGGTGCTGGATGAGGAGATTGAGAGGAGTGAGGCGAGGGTGTATCATGAGGGCTATTTTGAGGATACGGATGTGTATGGTGTTCGGGGGGGGGAGGAGAGCCCGGCGGGGGAGAGCGAGGATGATAGGATTAGGCGGGAGGATGAGGAGAGGCGTGGTAGGGAAGAGGAGAGGGTTGCGGCGCAGGGTAAGAGGGGTGATAGCCCGAACCGCCTCGCTCCCGATGCTACCACCTTCGCCGAGATGTTCGTCTTCTCCTACGGCGTAGTGGTATTCTGGAACTTCACCGAGAGCCAGGAGAAGGACACCCTCGCCGATTTCACCTTCACCGAGATGGAGACGGGGCAGTCGATCATATCGCGGCCGCAGGACGAGGCGGACTTTGAGACCGAGGAGCTGCATTTCGAGTATAGCTCGTTTGTGGACAGGCCGAGGGTGTTTAATGATATGATCACGCTGAGGAGTGGGGATCATATGATTAAACTCGCGATGAGCCATGCGATTGCACAGAGTACGAAGTTGAGCTTTTTCGAGGAGAAGATGTCGCAGACTATGCTTGATGCTCAACATGTCCCGAAGCGCCTGGCGTTGACTGGAGAATTGGGGATGTCTCGTCCTGAAGTTGTGAAGATCCTTGGGCGGTTGTTCAAGAGTCGTGTTGATGTGAATCTCTGTAAGTATTTCCTTGCCTCCTATTATGCAGCCCAAGGCTGTGGAATAGCTCCTGATATCCAACAGCATCCAACATCCTCGACGTCCCCAATTTCTTCTGGGACTCCGAGCCCACCCTCCACCCCCTCTACTTCGCCGTCCGCGAATACCTCGAGATCACCCCCCGCATCAAGGTCCTCAACGAGCGCTGCCGCGTCTTCCTCGAGCTCGCCGAGATCCTCACCGACTCCATCTCCGACACCAAGATGAGCAATATCACATGGATCATCATCTGGCTGATCGCCGTCAGTATCGTCGTCACCGTCTCGGAAGTTGTGTTGCGCTTTGGGATGTTGCAGAGTGGAAGGAACACTAACGTACCTGGTGTTTGTGGCCTCGCTAGGGTTGGGGCGTATGGGGGTGGAAACAATAATTTGACGAGGATAAGAGAGAAATTGACGGACGACGATATGCAGCAGTTGTGTGGGATGCCTTATATCCAGACGACGTATAAGGATTTGTGAGCCGCTACCTTGCCGAGCTTGTGGTCGTCCCAAAAAAAATGGCCTCTCAACCGACATTTGAACGCCCACCCCTCTCGCGACAATACCATCCCTCGCCCCCTATTACCCCTGGCTCATCCCCCCCTCGGCGGCCAAAAAATCAATCAAAAAAATCACCAAAAAAAATGGCCTGATCCAGATTCGAACTGGAGTTCTCCATCATTCCTCAATCAACCGCAGACTCGAGATATCCAAAGGTGCGAGCCTGAAGGTATCCAAGATTGGTTGATCAATTGAGGGACGGAAGTCTTAACCGCTAGACCATCGGGCCGGTGGAATTGAAGGGTAGTCGGTGAGAGGGGTATATAAGGTTTAGGCGGCAGGGGGTTTTTCTTTGTTCCTTTTTATGCGGGGCGGCGCAGGCGGCATAAGCGGCATAGGCGGTGTGTGTATGATTAGATAGTGCAGGTTTGTGCGGAGCGGGGGGCGAGTTGTGTTGTTGTGCCCGTGGAGATTGGGGCGTGGGATTGGAGTATTGGGGGTTTGGCGTTGAGCATACGGTTGTTGGGGATTATTCATTTCATAGATAGCAAATTCCATCCTTCATATCCTTGACCCCCTTTTTGTGATGCCCCTTTATTTAACGCTCTGTACTATATCAAGCTATGATCTCCCCTACAAGTTCCAATTCACAGCCTGTCCTTCCCTCCCAGACTTCTTCACATCCCACTCCCCTTTAATAACATCGATCAGCAACTTCAACGCCTCTACCGCGAAATTAACCATATTCTCCGCCCGGTCCGCAGATCCCGTGTCTACTTCCCGGGTGAATGTGCCTTCAGGTGTTGCGACGGCGAGGGCTACGTATCCGCTGTTTCTCTTATCAGTCCCCTTTCTCTTCTCTATATCCTCCCATATACAGCTGATATTCTCCCACTTCATGACAGATACAGATACGGTGGAGAGGCAGACAACTTACGGAGTTCGGTTTTTAGTTGTTCCCCCAGTGGGACCAGCGGTGCCAGACTCGCAGATAGTGTATGTGCTGTCGAGTTTCGGACGGACGTTCTCTGCCATTTTGGAGACGACACCGAGGGTTGGGCCGACGTAGGATCTGGTGTCCTCTTCGGTCCATCCGGCTGGGGGACGTTAGTTTTCTCGGGCTTGGTGGATATGGTGGATATATGGGATATCTCTGGGGTCATGACGGGCAGAGAGAGGTGTTCGAGGACACAGCAAATGAGGGTATAAAAGCATGGATTTGGTGAAGATAGGCTGGGTAACTTACCAAATTGTACCCGTGAAGGGAGGGTATACAACTTCTCTGATATCAGCACTCATTCTCCAAATCTCCCACATCCCTCCTTCCCCTGCTCCTCTATCCATCCCATTCCTCCCTCAGAAACTACCCGCTACCCGCAGCAAGGACTCCACATACCGTCAACCCGCCCTTGTAAAACCTGCTCGCACCCGGCGTGCTCAGCAATGCAGCCGAGATTATCCCTCCGGCAGCCTGCACATAATATCAGCACCTCTGCGTATCTAACTTGTCAACCCGAAAACTCGCTGTGATGAATAATACAGCTGGGAGAAGGGGATGGGCATGTGACCATCAAGAAGCACGGGTGCCTGCGTAACGTATGAAATGAAAGACACCGGATCAAATGGGAAAATAAGTCACATGAGCGACCATATGAGAGGATATCTCATAATATAAATCGTATACGCACCGTCTCAGCCACAGAAACAGTTTCATTTCGTCCTTTGAGGAGCTCAGCGACCTCTTCAACGAGTGGCACCAGGGACCGGGGCGGGAAAGAGGGGTTTAGGCCGAACATTTCGGTGTTGTGTAGTTTATGATAAATGTAATTCAAGGGGTGCCGGGAGACCGAGGTGGGTTGGATAGAGGGGTATATATCCCGTGGTGGATTAGTAACGGGTGTGGACCCCTATGATGGTGTTGGCAGGCGTGACGTGGAAGCTTTGCGGCCCGATGCACGAGATGCGTGGTGGTATGGTATGGAGAAACAAATGCATGACGGGTTGGGATTATATTGGTTTATATCACGAGATTGTGGGGATTTGAGTGAGTTGGTACGGGTTGATACGGGTAGATGGTGGAATTGAGGTATGTAAGTTGTTATTTTATTTTGTTTATTTATTATACTGTCTAATTTTCTGTGATGTAAATGGTGTAGAAGACCGAATATATATAATTTTTTGATAAATTTCGACGAAATATAATGAACAAGCGTGTAGATAAAGACAAAAATATAAATAAAAGACGCTTGAACGAAAAAGTAAAGAGATTCCGAAAGCAAGGGTGGCTTGCTCTAGAATCAGGGTGCGTGCATAGCAAACTCACCGTATATTTGCTTCCTGGAATACATGTATAAATGCAACGCCATATAGAAACATTCCAACAAGTTTGGCATCGCCACAACATGTCTTCTTCTCGCTGGATCCCCCAGAGTCCCCCTCAACGAAGGAGCCACATGAGCCGACATACCTTCCTGCCCCCCATGATGTGGAGAGGTTCCATCGCTCCCGACCGTCATTCGGTGATGGCTACGAGGGGAGGAGATAGAGGAAGGAGTTTCTTCTCTGACCTAACGATCGGAGACGGGAGAAGACCGCACGGCAATAGACGAACGTCGATGAACGTAGGGTATCCCAGGTTTCCGAACCCCTCGGAGTACCCGCCTCCCCCCGGGTACCCATATTACGAATGGGACGAATTTTACGACCCTCAGCCGCCGACTGGTCCACGCCATGAGCATCTCCCTCGGCCAAGACGTGATTCTCATGTTGAGCGAGAGAAAACGCACGACGATACCGCCAACTTTGACAGCGCGTGTGGCAAGTTGTTTCAGCAACTTGAACAAGCTGAACAATTCTATCAGAATTTCCAACAGGAGTTCGACAACGAGATCACGTCCATCAAAAAGTACGCGGGCGATGGTATCCTGAGGGAGCTGTGGTCCCGTCGTATCGGAGTTCCATCATCCCGCCGAGATTCCATCAAGAGTGAAGAAGAGGTCAATGAGTGGGAGGCCCAAATGAGGAAGCCGTGCCAGAAGTTTCGAATCCAGGCGACGAAACTGGACATGTGTCTGCAAAAGGCAACAACTGCCACGATTCCAACCCCAAAGTCGAGAAAGGATGAAACAAGTGTCGACTCAGCAAAACTACTTCAGGACAAGATCGAGACTTCTGGAGAAGGGATTCGGTCTCTTTTGGGAAAAGTATACCGTTCTAGGCAGTATTGCTCTGAACTGGTGAAGGAACTAGGCCAGCTGAAGTCGCTCGTTGATCCCCAGAAATCTCAAGGATTTGACGAGCAAGAAGATGGTACCGATAGTAATGATGCTGAATATGGACCAGTGGCAGATACCGCTCCTGGCAATAGGGGTGCGAGCTGGTGAAGGAAAAACTAGGCCAGCTGAAATCGCTCGTCGATCCCCAAAAATCTGAATAATATGACGAGCAAGAAGATGGTTTCGGTAGGAATGATGTTGAATATAGACCAGCGGAAGATCTTCAATTCTGAGGCGTGTTGATAGGGCGCGTGACTTCAATATTGATACTACAATCTCGATCGCGGGGTCATACTAAATTTAAAATCACAAGAAATATTAGTAGTATCCCATACCTCTGTGAATACAAATCCCACATACCTGAAAAGAAAAAGTGTGGAGCGTCGTCCCCAACAGAGTAATCAGAATCGAATTGTACCAGCTCTACAGCAACAAGTCGCCAGAGAGCCAGCACGTTGCGTATTGTACTTAAGTGTCATGCCTCTATAGTCACCGAACCCCGCCATCTCCCCTCCCCTCTCGGGTCAGGCATCAGGCAGGGACACGGCGGTTCATCTGACATACACGATCTTCGCAATAGCCCTCCCATAGGAACGAACCACACGCCCTCTTCTCTCTTTCAAGATATACAAGACGCGGGCCCGCCCTGCTTTTCTGATGCCAATTGCAGACGTGAAACACGCCAGGCCGTTACCGGCAGACCTGTGCACCTTCCGAAGAAGGGAGTGAGGTGTTTTGAAGATTACTCCGAATTTCTCATATGCAAATAGAATCTGATCCGAAGATCTTCTTGACACGGAGCTTGCGCAGGTATCTGTTTGTAGCATAGAAACGCAACGTTGAGGGGGACGACGCTGAAGAGGAAAGAAAAGAGAAGAGAGCTTTGCGAGCTATTGCAAAATATATTTTGTGACTGCGCGGCCGCGTGCCCCGCTTTGCCTCGGCTGCGGTTAAATCAACGCTAATAGGCGCCACAATAGGCTGTGACGTCACGTGTGTAGCCGTTGACGTGTGCATGGCTGGCGCAGCAGATCAAGATGAAACTATAGAATGCCAATGAGGAGCTTCTATAATTTTTCAACCACAACATCTCTCTGCGCTGTCAGAATTCTAAATACGATATAATTACTATTACTGAAACCTCACAATGTGTAAGCAGATCTAGCCAGGGCAGAAAGACACGAGGAAGGATGCTAACATCCCCAGGTATCGTCTTCACATGTGGCGAACATGAGTTCTCCTCAGAATTGAAAGGTTACGAGGGTGTTACCTGCCAATGTCACAACTGTGTAAGTTCAAACCCGAGTCCCTTGGACCCAGATTCAGGATAGTCTGGCAGGGCGATCGCATTATACAATACAGAGCGTCACTAACCGGTGCAACTACAATAGGGAAACTACTCGGCGACTGTGATGAAGAGATGGAACTGGTTCACATTCTGCTTCGTGCCCATTCTCCCGCTGTCCACGCACGCTTACAAAGATGTTGTCTGTCGAATCTGCGGCTTTGCGCAACCCCTAGAGTACGTCTCCCCTGGATCTGTTCGCGGAATTGGGTATGTGAGAATATTAGCTGACTTTTGGCCCCCACAGTAACCGACAAGACGTCCAACAACAGCACAGAGGTGCGGGTAACGAGATGCAGCCCCAAGGCCAGCCTGGGCCTGGGTATAATCAGCAGCCTGGATGGGGTCCACCACAAGGTCAACAACAGCCCGGTGCAAAGACAAACATGACGTACGGATAAACGGATAAACGGGCACTTGGTGACTGAGACATGCGTTCATGGTACTAGGCGGCCAAAATATGCGATTGTGGGGAACAGGGTCAATTCAAGTAAGGCGTTTTGGGTTGGGATGCCATAGGGCTGGGAAGGCCATTGGTTTTTTCTGAGGGGACAAGACAATACCCCAATGTCGTCGTCGTTTCCAGGCTCATGATTTTGAGTTGGGTACACGCTGTACCTTGGCAGTTTCTTCCCGCGTTTGCCACGCGGTGTACTATAATAATATCTGACTTTCTTATTCCTTGCGGGGGTTCATCACTATCCTCATGGTCTCCATGCGCGCGGCTCATGCATATGGGGGTGAAACTGGTATATGTACCCCATCCTGCAGCTACACTGCTACATAACAATCTCCCGTGCTCCCTCGACCCCAGAGCTTCAAATCAAGAAATCGGCAGCCCTGCCATCTCTCCACTTGCCGGCCGGCAATGGCTTCGTTGATAAGAGCTCTTGTTCTCTAGCTCCCGACCCTTATCTCAACCATGGGCTGGCCATGTGGGGGGTCAGGGGAGGCATCTCTTATCATTGCACAACCGTGCATACGTAAGCAGCAACCCCAGCAGAAAGTTAACTATCTCTGGACTCCTTATCATTTATCAACGCCTCTAATTGCGCCCACGTCGATTTTCGCGTGTCATCAACATATAGATTCCTACCAATGCCGCTTGTCACAAATATCATTGTGGCGCCTTTGTCTTATCCCGGAGCTGGCCGGTATAGTTATACGGTACCACCCGATATATGCGACTCAGTGCCCTCCTTCAATGTTGTACCTTACCCCATATCTCAGAAGGGCTGATGCACGCTTGGAGCAACTACTCCCGAGCTTCAATTCCTTATTCCTATCTACCATGCCATCCTTGCCAATATCGTGGCCGATGCCGGCCCCATTGGCTCATGGCGGCAATGTGCTAGGCTTGACTATCTTCTTTCTTTCTGGGGTGAACTAGATCTTATCTTCATAGCTCCCAATAGCTATGACTGACGCAAGTTTCATTGGACAGTTGCATTTTGACAGCATGTAGGTTTTTCATTCATATATCAGTGTCTCGGCCCAGCTGGTTACGAGACTTTTTTTTATTCCCATTTCTTGTCAACCTTGAAGCTATTACATCTCGCCGCCTTCAGACTCTCACTTGAAGCTCGAGATGGACGCAAACCACATAACCGTCCCTCACCCATTGGGCCAAGCCTGGGGCTATGGAATCATTCTAGGTAAGGCTTTACTATGCCCCTCCACCTGCTTCACACTCTAATACCAGTGATTACCAGGTCTCGGTTCCCTGTTCGCCCTTGGAATGGTGCTCGTAACTTGGATCCTCAAGCGCTACAACCATGAAGTTCAAACTTCCGAAATGTTCAGCACGGCCGGAAGAACAGTAAAGTCGGGATTAGTCGCCTCTGCGGTTGTATCGAGTTGGACTTGGGCCGCAACATTACTACAGAGCTCTAGTATGGCATACAAGTACGGAGTTTCTGGGCCATTTTGGTACGCCGCTGGCGCAACAGTGCAAATTATTCTATTTGCAACTCTTGCTATTGAGTTAAAGCGCCGTTCTCCCAATGCTCATGTGAGTACTTTGCCATTCTGCTACATATCAGCGTACTGAGTATCCCAAACAGACTTTCCTTGAAGTTATCAAGGCACGCTACGGCATGACCACGCACTTGGTCTTCGTTACCTTCGGCCTCTTCACAAACATCTTGGTCACAGCCATGCTCCTGACCGGCGGATCGTCAGCATTCACAGCCTTAACCGGTATTTCGACTCCGGCCGCATGCTTCCTGCTCCCACTTGGAGTCATCGTTTACACCATGTTCGGCGGCATGAAAGCCACATTCTTAACAGACTACGTTCATACCGTCATGCTTCTAATTATCATCATAATTTTTGCATTTACTGCCTACGCTACCAACCACATCATCGGCTCTCCAGGCGCAGTTTTCGACGCCCTTGTTGCCGCCACAGAGCGTCACCCAGTGGAGGGAAACGCAGGAGGCAGCTACCTCACCATGAGGTCCAAGGAAGGCGCCATCTTCTTCGTCATCAACATCATCGGAAACTTTGGAACCGTGTTTTTGGATAACGTGTACTACAACAGAGGAATTGCAGCTTCCCCGGTCGCCGCCTTGCCTGGGTATATCATGGGCGGGTTGTCTTGGTTTGCCATCCCATGGCTCTGCGCAACGACAATGGGCCTCTCGGCACTCGCACTCGAGAACCATTCCGTCTTCCCAACCTTCCCCGAGCGCATGTCGGCAGCTGATGTCTCCGCCGGGCTTGTGCTCCCTTATGCCGCCGTGGCGCTCTTAGGGAGCGGCGGAGCAGTGTGCGCTCTACTTCTCATTTTCATGGCCGTCACTTCCGCAACCTCCGCCGAGCTCATTGCGGTCTCGACTATTTTCACTTACGACATCTATCAGACCTACATCAAGCCTGATGCATCCAGCCGCAGCCTCATTTACATGTCCCACGTCATGGTTGCCTGCTTTGGCCTCGTCATGGCTGCATTCTCAACAGGTCTGTACTACGCCGGCATCTCAATGGGCTTCCTCTACCTCATGATGGGCGTAATAATCTCCGCCGCCGTCCTCCCAGCAACCCTCACCCTCCTCTGGAGCAAGCAGAACAAATGGGCCGCCATGCTCTCTCCCCCTCTCGGCCTCGTTTGCGCCCTGATCGCCTGGCTTGTCACCTGCCAAAAGATGTTCGGCGAACTCACCGTCGAGACTCTGGGGTCCAACTACCCCATGCTAGCAGGGAACGTGGTAGCCCTCCTCTCCCCCGTCATCTTCATCCCAGTCCTCACCTATGGTCTCGGCGCGGATAACTACGACTGGGTATCCATGGGCGAGATCCGACGGAGCGACGACCACGAGATCGCCGAGGCATCTGGAGTTGATCTCGAACTCGTCCCTGGGGAAGCGGTCATATCCGAGGAGCAGCTCGCCGAAGAACAACGGGTCCTTCTCCGCGCATCCAAGATCGCGAAGATCGCCACCATCTCGATGACGCTAGGCTTCCTCGTCCTCTTCCCCTTCCCCATGTACGGTTCCTCCTACATCTTCAGCAAGCCCTTCTTCACCGGCTGGGTGGTTGTGGGGATCATCTGGATCTTTTGCTCGCTGTTCTGCGTTGGGATATACCCGCTCTGGGAGGGAAGGCATAGTATGGCGCATACGTTCAAGGCGCTGTATCTGGATGCGACGGGGAAACAGCACCCGAGTAGGCATCATGCGCATGGGGCTATGATCGTGGAGGATGAGAAGAGTAGTGGGTCTGAGACGCCGCCGGAGAAGAAGGATTTGAGTGTTAGTGTGAGCGAGTGAGGGGGGGTTAGTTTTGGTTCAGCGGGGGAGTAATATATATCAGGAGTCTTATCTCCCACTGTCGTTTTAATATAGGTTAATATATACTATGTATTTTACATTTGAGTCTAGTTACTAGACCACCATTCTGTGATTACAGTCACTGCCTCCCAGGGCAATCATGTGCGTGAGAAATCGCAGCCTTAATTTGTTTTCCGTTACCGACCAGCTCAGATTCACGATTGAGACAGGTGGGCGGGCACAGATGCATTAACTATAATTAGGGAGAGGAAGTTCTTAAGTGTGGAAGAAGATGAAGTAACGTACCAAAACAAGTCACAACGTTTGACAGATAGTGAACTGCGAAACCACGCAACGGGAGCCAGCGCCAAGAGGGGGTTCCCCCCCAAGAAACCACAGTGAGAACCAAATCGACAACCCCCCCGCAACATGACAGTGACAACCCCCCACCGACAACAACCCCTACCGACAAGAACCCCAAAACAACGACAGCATAACCTCAACAACAATCCCCCCTCTCTCACCCCCCGAACCCCTCTCCTCCACCGTCACACACCAACACTTCCATCACACTTCGGCTGCACCACCATGAACCCGTCTTTCAGAGACATCTCCCACCCTGGAATTTTCCGACGGAATTCGCAGGCTCCTTGGGTTGGTTTATGGTGCTGAGAGGTTTGTATTTATAGTGGTTTTTGGGGCTGTGGGGTGGGGGGTGGAGGCGCGGAAGGGGAGGAGAGGGAGGGGAAGAGGGGTGGGTTTGTGGTGTCTCTCGTTGTGTGAGGTTTTATGGTTTTTCTGGAGTGAAGAGGAGGGAGGGTATTTGAGTGGGATATGAATTTGTCGGATTTGCTTCAGCTCGTGTTGGATGGGAGTGGTCGCCGATATGAGAGTGATATTTTGAAGTCTCAAGCACTTACACCCACCATAGCCCCAGAGCAAGTCCAGATGAGGAACTCACCATTTCCTCATCTGGACTTGTGCAATCTCACATCACTTCAACATATTCGAGTTCCCAAAACAATCAGCGAGCCAAGTTATAACATCCTCCCAGCAGCGACTCTCATAACACTCCCCCCACAGCCCATCCGTCATCGCAGCAGCGTCATCTGTATGTATTTCCGTTGCTCCAAATGAGCATAATCATACCCGTCGTACGATGCGCCACGGCAACGGTTTCCAAAGGGCGCCAGTGGTGTTGCAACTGTTGCACCATGCGTCATCATACCAACGATATCCAGAAAGTTCTAGAGGCGCTTCAGCCGCTGTCCTTTCCGCCGTCGCGCTACTGTTGCTGTCGATACATTCTCTCGCCGTTACGCTGTTGCTGTGTTGCTGTCGATACATTCTCTCACCGTTATGCTGTTGCTGTTATGACCTCAGTAACTTGTTTCGCCAGACCTGTCCACGTTCCAACCCTGTGCGCAGCTATTGTAAAGGCAGGGAGGGACTGAACGGCGCGCGCAGGGACCTCATCCAATCATCGTCTAGGAATCCTTTCTGCTGAATAACTGCGTTTCGGCTCTCTTTCTGGGACTTTATACGAATTTTGTAAGCTTGCTGTTGAGGATATACCGTAGCTAGAGCAGGTTATTTATGGGTTCATAGTCGTGCGTATAAAGATGAGCAAAGGTCACCATACCATATACACACCACAGAAAAATAGATCAAAATCCTATAGTTCCATATATAAACCCCACGCCCCTATCTACACTCTCCCTCTCACCGCTACCGCGATCTTGGCATAGTTTCCCAGTGCGGCACGGGTCCGTTCGCTGTCGTCGTCTTTCAGATGGACAGTGAAGTATGAGGGATTCTGTATATACTACCAAGAGTCTAGCATTAGAAGAACTTGCACACAGCACTGACCCCTGAGTTAGCAGTCACCCCGCACAAGCACTGCACATTAAAAGCCCCATTGTACAATATTATTATGCATTGACACTCCTATCGGTAAATGTTTGCCTGCAGTCTATCCCGCATGCTTCCATCCCCCGAACGTATCCCATAAAGCGGCTTCCCAGTAGTACCAGCCGAATATAAACTTCCCAAACGGCCCAGTCCTATCATGCAATTTCCCGACTCCGTCTTCCAGCCTCAGAATTCATTCTGGCCCTCTTGAGAAAATTACAATTTTAACCCAAGTAAAAAAATCGCACCGGTATCAAACTCCCTGTAATGCAAGTAAAAAAAATCGGCGTTTCCTCCCCATATTACAACTTCCCCCCAACCCCGCCCCCAAGCACGATCTCAAGACCCAAAGCTCGGCGCAGCCACAGCCCCAAAGCCGTGGTCCATCCCTCCATCCTCCGACTTCATCGTCCCATTCAGCATCGGACACAGCTTCTTATTCGTCTTGATGTGGCCCGCCTGTCCACAATTAGCACACTTCCTAGACGTCCCCTTCGGCGTAGCATCTGCTGCCGCCGGGGTAGCGCTTGGGGAACCAGCATCTGCGGTGCCCTCTGGGCCGCGATATATGCCCTTCTGCTTTTCGCGCGCGTGGCGACGCTCTTTGTTGCGTTCGAGACGGGCAAGTTCTTTGCGAACACTGGATATACAATTAGTACACGATGTAAAGGAAATTGAAGGGTTAAACCATACCGTTGAGCTTCCTTCTTGTCCCACTCTGGATCGCCGGTAGGCTTAACGTCGTACACATTATGCCCATCTGCGTCCAGAGCGTGGCGGCGCTTGACGTATTCCCTCCAAACCCGCGGATCCGACACGATTTCCTCAACTTCTTCCAGCTGGTTCCATTTGTTCCGAATGCTGCGGACGATGCGATGGGCCTTGCCACCATGTTGACTGCTTGTGCTGAACCTGCTGACTTGACTCACAGAGTCGTCGAAGTTCGCTGGCGTGGCTGCCGAGTGCGGGGTAGCGTTGCGTCCATACGGTTGCTCCATCTCAAGCGGATGATCAAGTTCCATTTCACTACCAGCGTGCTCTGCGGTATCGGAAAGATTGGCCTTTTGCTTCTCCCAGATGCCCTTGATGGCCCGCGTATATATCTCGTTTTGCTTGTCGACATTGTACTTGTGGCCACCATTTGCTTTGCGCTCACGAGCGATAGCATCCTCCGTAGTTGCCTGAGGGCCTTGAATGGTATCCAGATATCCTCCTTTCATGGAGGTCTTGATGAAACTGAACGCCAGCCCACAGCCAGATGGGTCGCCCTCACCATGGAGCTGCAACATAGCCTTTCCTGCTGCGGCATCCAAGAAATTCTTGCTAGTCTTCCAAGGCGCAAGGAGCTGCTCCAAACTATCGCCTTCTTGCTCCTCTTCGGAACCGTCGTCCTGGTTGTCTCTACCGTAACCCGCGTCTTCCAAGTGTCTCAGGCCAACTTGCATGGCGTCAATGGTGCAGACGTCTTCGGGCTTGACCCAGGAGCGGACTGTGGTCTCATCTGGAATAACGTCTCCCGGCTTGACTCGCCAAACCTTCTCATCCTTGTAATACTTGATGAACTCCTTCAGCTTCTGCCTGTTTTGCATATCGCTGGAATCAGTAATGTGAGAGGTGATCTCATCGATCCTCACAGTGTTGGCAGGGCTATGGCGGATTTTTCTGAACGCAATCATCTTCATACGACTCTTCGAGGCATTGGTAACCTTCCTGGACTGCGGGCCAGGAATCTCCATTGAAGGTAATTGCTGCCCGACAGCATAGATATTATCGATGTTACGAATGTGCCACGAAGTTCCATTTACACCAGTGGTATTTCGGATGACGAGGAAATCCGTATTCTTCGGATCCTGCTTGAAGACAGGGGCACGGAACATGGCGTTGTGGAGCGTAGGCACGGTCTCCCCAGGTTCAACGGTGCCGAATTGCGCAAACGGCGACCTATCCTCAGGCATAAGGACACTTGTCTCACCAATTTCGTTCTTTGGCCTCGACGCGTCGTCCGCGTCTTTGCGGCGGTAGTAGTTGATGATTCTGTTGCCCATTCCGAAATTGGATAGAACTGTTGGATGCTCTTCAGAGTACTCGAGAAGCAGAGCTGTTGAATTATCTGCCAGTGACAGATCCTTGGACTCTTTGAAGATTTCCTGGGTAGATAATCCCTTCATGTGCTTCCTCTTCCGCTGCGCAGGCTTCGAGAAATAAATGACGTGGTTCATGAACTTTCCAAACTTCAGCGAGGGCCTGTGGTAAGAACGCGCCTCCTTGGTATAAAGCTTGACTCTGTAGTATGGCCACTGCAATTTCAGAGCAGGCATACTATGTTCAACTGTAATGCTGCCAATCAAGGCACGGACCTTGTTCTGGTGGTTCTCCTTAAGAGCATCATAAGCTTCATCGTTGGAGATGTTGAAGCGTTGAGACAAGCTCTTCGACACGTTGCCACTTCCTCCACGTTTGAAGCTACCACCAAGGCGCAACTGCCTATCCGTCTGGCTTGGCTGGTGCATATCGACAAGTAGGTGAGGATCGTTGAGATCGAGAACGACACGCTTCGCAACACGCGCTGTAGCACGCTCGAAATCATCGAATGAGGGTACCGCAAAGGATGGCATTTTAAGAATGTCAATCTCCTTCGATTTCGACGTCTTCTGGCGTTTAGCTGGGTGCATCTCCATATCCCTGAACCACTCATCGTCCGCATCATCCCAGGTAACTTCAGGAGCCTCGCGTTCCTCAACCTCTGGGGAGGAAGCCTCGATTCTCGATTCCCAATCATCGCAAATGACTTGCAAGTCCGCCCAGCTTATCCCTCCAATCTCCTCATCCGGTGGCGGCGTATCCCAGTCGAAGCCTTCTTCGGACGTTGCTTCATCCGACGACTCCTCCAATATCGGGATAATGCCTTTAGCCACCGACTCCTGGATCCTCTGTAGTTTGCTGGAATGCGAAGGCCCTGCGACGCGAAAGCTCTTCTCTTGCTCGGGCGCGAGATCTAAGCTGACTCTTGTCGGGTTGACCGGCTTTGGCGGCTTGATAGGTTGTTTCGGGATGTAGTGTGCCTTCTTCGGCGGAAGCAACTCGTTCCAGTTGATGGTGATGCCTTGTTCGAATGTAGGCCATGCCTGCTTCACCAACTCCTCCTCGGTCTCCGCAGGAGCTGGGATGGACAGATCTTGGTTCGCCTCGTCGGATGGTTTCGGTTCTTGGTCGAAGCTCATAGACGGAAATTCGGCAGATGTATCCAGAGACGGCAGAGATGAAGGCAGAGTCAGGCGACTGCCTATGCTTTGAGTAGTCTGCGAGTCGTCGAGCTGCTTGATTTGAACCCCGGTATGCCTATCCTCCCCTTCGAAAGGCGACGAACCGCGAAGCTCTCCGAAAAGATCATCGGTATCATGGCTGGTTCCTCCATCATCTGTCAGGCCTGGAAGATCCGCGCCACCTCCATTTGTCGCTTCCTCCTCGTCAGGTAGGTCGTCGTCGCTGATGTCTTCGAAGTCCTCCGCGTCATCCGCCTTCTCGCCAACCTCCAGCGGCCTATCGAGGTTCAAAGCTCCCTGGTCATCTGGGTTCTCCTGGTTCGAAAGAAAGCGCTGCAGTATCTTGTCATCTTCAGCTGCCTGCTTGTCCCAGTCCACATCATCCAGCGACATCGTTGCGGTCGCGTTCGGTCCGTGAAACTGATGTGGCGTGCGCAAGATCAGGGACACTGTCCCTTTGTCGCGCCTTCGGGTGTAGCTATCTCATCAGGGTATTCTGGTCGTCGACACGATCTGGGTGTTGGGTTCTTGGTATCGTAGGAATACGCGCAGAGCGACCTAGGCCTGTGGTGGCGACGTTGGCTTCATTTATAGGTGAATCTGCTGATGTAGTTGTGAAGTTCCAACTCGGGATGTTCGCGCCAACCCCAGCCGCTAGCGCGATCGAATAGCGGAGTCAGACCCCAAGTCACGTGACTTCTGCCTGGATTGCATCGTTGGAACCAACAACACTACTTTCCAGTATGGAGTATTGATATATAATATATGAAGTCTATATGGATAACTGAGAGGTGAATCGGTGTCTTATGATCATTTCTAAGTGTTGGTGTCTCGAATTTTTTATATTCTCATGCAATGAGTTATATAATTATTTAATAATTACCCCATTGGTATGAGAACTATTATGTCAAGACCCACAAAACTGAGCTTATAGATACCTCAAGAACCCCTCATGAGATTCATAATTGATCACCTTCACATATATATTACAGTGTTCGGCACGGATACCAAAATACCCGTGGTATCCGGGTATATCCTCGAGTAATTACCTACCCGGCGATATTTTAGGAGTATCCGGCGTATCCGGATACTCTCGAGTAGTATCCGGATACATGCCAAGAATAGCCAAGAATAGCCAAGACCTCTTTTTTCCAACGTCGTGAGACCTGTAGTAATGCTGTATAAAGTGATAATTATCCTCAGAATGAGCGACTCGTCGTTATCAGATATACCGACAGAGCTTGAGGGCTATGATAGCTATGATACTCATAATGAGCCAAGTCTGCCGACGCTGCCGCCCCCTATTCATATTCAACAGGATTTTAATCCTACACCGCTCCGACTTCAGCCTCCAGGACAAATGCTGCCACCGACGTCGTCAATACTATTTACAAAGCTATTGTATTCGCGATTGATACTTGATAGCCACCCACCTACAGTTAAAGTAACTTGCTTGCAACCAGACTGCGGATATTCACCTACTCCGCAGCCATTAAGTCAGACATCAACTGGTAATCTTTGGAAGCACTATACCCTAAAGCATCCAACAGTAGCATATACAATGAAAGGTCCTACGATTACGCCGTCAAGCCCATCAAGTAGTGCATCGTCGTTTTTTGAGCCACGGCCGCGGAACCCGCAAGTCCAGCCTGCTCAAGCTCAAGCATCAAATCGTAGAGCAAAATACCGAGAGTTATTACTCTCATTTGTTGTATCGAATAACCTCTCCTTACGACTTATTGAGAGCTATTCGTTCCATCAATTAGTACACTTCTTAAGCCCAAGTACTCTGTCGATATCGTCACGAACGCTACACCGAGAGCTACAGCGGCAATTCTCATATCACCGAGGATTGCTACAATTAGAACTCCAGTCTCATATTACCTGTGGCGGCCGGATATCTATTACAACAGATGCATGGACTGCGCGGAACTATACTGAGTACGCTGCTGTCACAGGTCATTGGATTAATGAGAAGTGGCAGCACCGGTGCGTATTACTTGATGTAATCCACCTTCAAGAGCCAATTCATAGCGGTGAATATCTTGCTCAAGAGTTAGCTGCAGTAACAGATAGCTTCGAAATTACAGGTGCTATCTTTACTTGTACGCGGGATAATGCCTCAGCGAATACTGTGATGCTTTCGGAATATGAGAAAATAGCTAGTGAGCAGCAGACGACTATTCAACAGCCATGGACGTTTACTGTAAAGGAAGGGGACGTTCGGTGTATTGCTCATATTATCAATCTTGCAGTTCAAGCTGCTCTAAAGAGCTTGAAAGCTAGCCCAGATACAGAAACAGAAGCGTACTGGTGTGAGCAAGGGCTTGCCCGGATTCCGCAGCGTATTAATAACGCTTCTACTGAAGTATCAGCTACGCTTGAGAAGCTCCGAAGGCATATTTATGTCTTTCGAAACCGAAGAGCATGGAAGGATGCTTTACAGAAGCAGATAAAAGCTGCAGGCCAGAAGCCACGCCAGTTGTCACTTGATATGCCTGTACGCTGGAATTCAACGTACTATATGCTTGAAACAGCTATAAAGCTTCGAATACCAATTACTGCAGTATGCTCAACGCAGAAGCTTGATATTAGTATGAAGGATATTGCGTTAACAAGTAACGATTGGGCTATTATTGAAGCTCTTGAACGATTATTCTTAATATTCTTAAAGCCGTCAAGACGGCTACAAAGCGATTCATATCCAACGCTTAACTTTACTATTCCTCTTTACTTAAAGATGATAAATAAGGTCACATCGCTACAAGAAGAGCTTGGTAGAAGCTCTGCAATTGGAGTAGCTTGTGGAGCTGCGCTTCAAAAGCTTAATGAGTATTATACTCTTACGACGAATCAGCAGTGTAAGCACTCAGCTGTTGCTACAATTTGCGACCCACGAATGAATCATACAGTATTCAAGAAGATATATCCAAATGCTATAGATGATACACGAAGATTACGAGCAAGAGCGCAGTTCGAAGACGTTTGTAGAACGTACCAAAAGCGAGAGTATCACCTTGATACAGAGCGAATTACCCACGAAACAGCTCTTGCAGAAGCAATAGGTGCTACTGCCACAATAGATCAAGAACCCGATTCCGACGAAGATCTATTTGCGTCAGAAGGCTTAGCTTTTCAAGAGCCAGAATGGAGGCGCTGGATGCTTGAACCACGGCCTGGTGAGCATACCGATATTCTCAAATATTGGTGCGCAAAGCAATACCAATATCCAGTTATTGCCCGTATTGCTCGAGATCATCTAGCAATTCCAGCGACCTCTGCAGCTTCTGAGCGGGTATTTAGTAATGGAAGTGATATTATCACAAAGAAGCGGAACAGGTTGTCACCGCCTACTATTAGATATTTACTGTGCTTACGGAATTGGGGTAAAATACAGGAGGCTGATAGCGATGGTGATGATGCTGACGATGAAGCACCTGAATAGAGGCTTACGGAAAAGGGGGGGGTCTTGCGGTAAGGGGTTTACTATTATCAAAAGCTTCATTTTTTTTTATATACGCTATTCCTATTTTTATATACGATATTCAGCCTCATGTATCCGGATACTTACCTACCCTACCCGTCAGATCGTCGCCGGGTATATACCCTACCCGTGGGGTTCACGGATACTACCCGGATACGTATCCGCCGAACACT